ATATGATATTAACATGGGTTGCTTTCTAGTAAAAGTTCAAACTTAGGGTTTAACTTGTCAGACAATACTGAACACTGCTTCCATACAGAAGTTATATCCCATTACTGGTATATACTCCAGTAGCCAGACGTTGCCTTGAAATAGACACATCTACACCAAGGAGCATCAAGGAAACAAACTCCACCCTTGGAACACATACATTTCTATGCGTTTTCTCTATTCAATTCCCACTGTTTGCAGGTGATATTTTCTTCTTAATAGCTCATTAAGCAACAGATATGCCCATTTAGAGCACCTTAATGCCAGCAATTCCAGTACAACAAGCCCTGATTTACCCAGTCAGGGCACTGCCAATCCATTAGTAAGTCCCTTCAAGTTTACAACCAGGTTATGTCCTTATGCCTCGCCTATATCTTGATTGGTTAAAAACAGCTTCCCACTACCTCTTAATAAATTGTGTCCCAAGCTTCTCCAACTGGTAAGGATAATTCTTTGACCCCATTTCCATACCTAGATCGATCTAGCAGGATCGACCTGAGGGGATTCTCCCCAAATAACATTCAACTTAAATGGCTATGTTGTCTGGAACGCCTACTGAAGCTGCAAAATGATAGTTTTAACTAAATGATAGTTTTAAAATAACCTCCTTCAGCAGGCATGCTAGTCCTCAGAGTAGCTTAAGCTGAACGTAACTCAGCGAGAAACCCATCAGATATGGATCGATCCTGCTAGATCGATCTAGAGATGGGAAAGGGGTCTTTGACTGTGTCTATACACAACATTAACAAGGGCTGTCACTTACTCTTCAGTTATGATGTCCCCAAGTACCTAACCAGTCAGTACAGCTCTTTGCCCACTGGCTATACACAACATTGAGCCTCAAAAGAGCTGTCATCAGCTTTACCTGAAATGGCTTTCCCGAGTACTTAACCAGACAGGGCAGCTATTCGCCCCTTAGCTATACACAAGATTAAGCTCAGCAAGAGTTGTCACTCACTCTCTGGAGGGCCGTCAGCTTGTCACCCTCTGTGTGTCCCCTGCGGACATAGCCTTATGACCACAATTACAGAACAATTAGTTATCAGCGGAACTTTGGATCCTGTGACCTAGACTGACCTTTGGTTTTGGAAATAGTAACATAATAGAAAGAATATACTAATGTACATGTTCCTTGGTTCTGTTCGTTGTCAACATGGTGATGGATGATGTCCGCCTACTTCATACATGTTAATGCAAATTTGATGACTGTCTGTAGCAATGGTTATGCATTTGTACATTATACATGTACTAGTACACTCAATGCCCATTACCTATACTGAGTATTTAGCTTTGTAAATTCATGGTATTTTCCCATTATATATTTTGTTTCAGCAAGTCAAAAATAATTTCTTTGGCTAAAGAAAATGAGAAATGTCTGACTATTTGTTTCAATATATCAATAATCATGATTTAAGTGAAAAATCAGTCTTTTTGCTAAATAAAAAGAAGGCCATGGTTGCTCCAACTGCAGTGCACTTATACTGGGTAGGATTATTTCTGGTTAAATTACAAGATTTAGAAATTTGTACGAAAATATCTGTACAAAATACAAAGCTATCTTAATCACCTCTAAATACAGAAATGCATCTCACATTCACCTAAACAAGACTACCCATGTACTACTGTAACCTATCAAATATGTAAAATCTAACTCACACTTTACAAATTATAAGTTCTTTTTACCTATCAACTTTTTAATTTCCAAGATTTTCCTAGGAAAGTTCCAGCATGCTTCTTATTCAATCTGGCCTTTCTTTCACAATGACTTTACCGTCCTCGAATCCCTTTTCTGATCATCATCTGGGCATGATCCAAATGGGTTCTTTTTGTTTGTTGGAATATAGCAAACCTGTGGAACTTAGCACGCAAGCCATCTGTCAAAATATGCCTTGATATTATCATAATACAATGATTCACTGAGTCCAGCTGATAGAAGTAAAACAATGATAAACAACTTGCCAGATTTATATATAGATATATAGTTTCGAGGTAAATAATGTCAAGAATAAAACTGCATAAAAACATCACTGAGAAAAGCTTGCTGTACAATTTATCTTTAGATTTATACAAAAAAAAAACAAAACTTATAAGTGGCAGGACTCTGGGAGAGGGGGAAGGACATGTTCAGAAAGGTCAATCAGAATGAAGAGGAAAGGGAAAAAACACGTTGAGAAAATAAAAAGAGAAAGAGAGTTAACAGAAATGAATTGAAAGATAGGTGGATGTCAAAAAGTTTTAAATCAAATTAACCCATTTCTTTGATCCGAGTTAACAAAAAAAAAAAAAAATCTGAATACAATACAATACAATCTGGTCTCTAAGTGTTCCTTACAAAAATAGCCTGCTTGCTTCAGTTAGCATCTCTGGTGTCTCATCATAGTAACCAAATTTATTCTTAATTCTTTCCTCATAGCTAGTTATGATTATCTGATGACTATCTTTTCTAAAATATTGTTGTTAGCAACCGTCATCTTCACTTTGTTCTTATCTCTCAGATATAAATATTGTAGGTCTGCATGCAAGGTAGACTGGTCAGACCAGGGTAAAAGACTGCAGTGGGTGTGTATGTGTGTTTATGTGAGTGCATGCGTGAGTGTGCACTCGCTTGTGCATGTTTGCTTGTATGTGTATGCATAAATGTGTGCACATGTATATGTGTGTGTGTGATGTTACGATATATCTTCTTTGTTGCCATGGACATGCAGAGTGATTTTTACTCAATTTCTACTTATAGATAGCTAGTCTTATGCTTGCATATCAATTTTCCCTCAAATACCAAAGTGATTTTTACTTGGTATTGATTGACAAAAATGGAAAATTTGTCTTATTCACTGTTCACATATTCAACATGGTGCAATCTGACTAAGAGAAGCCTTCTCTCCTGATAGTCAACTGTCTATTCATGCCAACGACCCCCTCTACCTCCACTTAAATGAAACAAATGCCTTATTCCAACTATTAAGTCCATTGAAACATGTTACAAATGTACAAGACAAATATTTCTGAATAAACTGAACTATATTTCTTTCATTTCCATTCACAAGACCACACAACTGCTGCATGTTTATGTCAATTACATCTAAAGCCTTTCATTTCCCCTTTTATTAGCTATACTGAATGACTCAATTATCTAAGTATACACACAGCTATTAATTAAATGAATTAAGAGGACTGAATTAATTTCCATTCCATATAACCATGTGGATGTATGTATACATGGATGATGGGCCAGCATACACAGCACTGCCTCTTAGTGTTAGATGGGATGCTTAAAGGCCAGGTTTTATTCATGGATTATTCACACATACACACCTTGAAAGTTGATATACCAGGCCTTGGCTGTCATGCTCTGTAATTCTTTTCTCTCCACAGGAACATATACACCCACAGAATAATGGACTCCCAATATACCCCTAAACAGGATTGCACAATTTTGGGGATTTATTTACCAATAAAATATCAGTAGAAGTGCAACAACACCTTACATTTTCAACTCAACTGGATATATTTTCAACAGTGGTTACAGTCTACTAAGTTCTATTATATTGGTTTATCTCATTACATTTATTTTTTAGTTTGTGGTTTGGTCAGTACAATACAGATCAGTCTTTTATGTTGTTTTACAAAAATATCTTGAAGTGGGGATACAAGTATTACTGCTGATACAGATCAGGAAATGCCTCATTTTTTTCCTACAAAACAAAACCACAAGAAAGCAATAAGTATACATACTACTAGAATGATGACAGTATCTTTTTAAAAAAATGCACTAGAAATAACCAAACTAAACATGTCTATTAGTACATTATATTATTCTTACCCCATTAGCTTCGTTAGCCCCAGTTTTCTTTTTAAAATGCGAAATAAAATAAACACAGGCCCGTAGCCAGAAATTTCAAAAGGGGGGGTCTTTTTTTGAAAAAGTGGACCTTTTCCCATAAAAACTTCATGTACCTAGAGCAAATTTTACCCAAAGTGGACCTTTATCCAGCAAAAGGGGCGGTTTTTTCGAACCCCCCCCTGAACCCCCCTGGCTACGGGCCTGAAACATGTGACAAATTATCTGTACAGTAATTTCCCTAAACTTTATAACCCCTACCTGGTTTACGCAGGTATGCATTACTAGCAAGGCCCACCTACATACTTCACTAGGTCAAGGTAAACAGGATTTCTCTTGGAGATCGGTTGCTTGCTTTAATGGGGGTATTCTGATTTCAGAGTACATATATCAACAACTGCTTGGGTGGTAATACACCTGGGGTATCTTATTGGAATATAACTCAGATAGTTAACGTTTTATAGCCAGTTTGTGTAAAACTTAACAGGAATAGAAAAAAGTTCTCTGCTTCAGCATGTAGATGAATGAAAGTGCTGGCACAAAAGAGTATTTAAAGATTTTCTACACTTATAATTTTTAATTTACTTCTGAGCATTATTCTTCTTGTACTGCTTATCTATTGAAACTGAAAGCAGATAGCCAAGATTGAATCTGGCCAAGTGAATTACATTTTCCTTTGCTGACCAAATAAAACCACAATATTTCAAATGTGCCACTGATAATAAGTTAGGACAGGGAAAACTTTTTTTAAATCAAAAAATATTTCCCAACTTCAGAAAACCTCTAAAACTAAGCCTTGCAATGTATCAAAACAAGTGAATACAACACGGAGAAGACGGTATATGCTATCAAGTTCTTATTCTACAACGTGACATAATTTTTATCACGATTTTAACACTTAATTATCGTATAGCTTGCGGCTGAAGCAAAACCTGTTTACTTGCTGCAGTGCCGTCTACGGTAGTACATGTACATGTATCAACACTGACGAGTGTGCCTACGAAATTTTAGTGCTAACGACACAAAACCGGGAACACTTTGATTCCCCTTATGTCATGTAACGTATTTAAATAATCATTTACAGTAACTATGTAAATTTGTATAAAAACAAGTTTCCTCTTACCTATGATCTGTAAAAAATCTCAGGAACTTCTAAATTTCCCTCGCTCAATGTTGTCTCCGTCTTCTCGTGTATTGTGAAGTACGTCATTTCCTGTTGTGGACTACGTCATCATTTTTTGCTGATGGCAGCCTGTGCAGCAACATGGGCATTTGGGATAGACGCGGTAAAAATTTGCAAAAATCTCCTGCAGACGGGCGATTCTTGTCTAGATGCCGTGGAGAAATCTATAAGGAGTAAGTTCTATAGAAAGATTAACGGGTTTTCCTTTGGGACTTTCTGTTCTAATGTGGACAGGCGGATTTACCGCTGGGAAATCTGCTTTGCCAGTCACTAAAAATCGTCTGCTGTAGCCCGTAGGCGTAGCAAGAATACATTTTAAGAGAAAACCATTCACACCGGGAAGATCGCCATCGTCGCAAATATTTTATGACTTGGTATAATACAATGCTGATTTCGTTATTTATTTGCCAGAGTTAACCGTGATTTAGAACATTATATTTAATTTAGTATTTGTAAATTGAATTTTACCTTTGTATTACATCCTAATTCCTATTATGCTTGACAAATATACAGTTAAATAAGAGGTAAATCAATAATGTGCGCTTTCAGAGAACAACTTATTTCTTTTTCTTTTGGTATATATACTAATTAACTGTTGCTAAAATGAAAATGTCAATTATTACTAGTCTTTTCCATGTGTTTCTCACTTTGTATTTATTCTTTTAAATAACGGCACTGTTTAAAATTTCTATGATTGTGAGGCTTCCCTTTATTCACAATTTCTGGTTAAAATGTATTCCTGGTATTTGCCTTTTCCCTTATATCAGTCCTGGAGGATGACCCAGCTTATGGCCGTTACCTGGTAGGGAAAGGAGGTATGCCCAATGCTGCAGGCACACTACAGCTGGATGCTGCTCTCATGGAGGGCAGGTCACTACAGTATGGGGGTGTGGCCGCTCTAGAGGGGTACATAACAAGATTTGTATTTCATCTTACATGTCATAAGATTTCATGTGTTAATTAATGCATCACTGATAATGAATTAAAAAAATACTATACAGTGAGTAAAGTACCATTGCCTAAACACACACAATGGATATGTAATACTAAAAGTTAGCTCAAGGCTATGACATCATCATGGTTGATAGCTATCAACAGAAGGAAACTACTGAAATCCTCTTTTGCTGGAGACTTGGAAAGTTCAGCTTTGTAAACCATGGGTAGTATTATACCTAACACTGTGAAAATTGCCAAAGATATTTGTAATAAAAACTTAAAATTGTTGTCCTCTGTAAAGATAGCCCTGGATGTATAGCACTAGTTAATCATTAAAATATACATAAGCTGAGAATGGAGTCATTTTATTGTGCAGAGAAAATTAACCCCTATTTAATTAATAACCATGATTAAGAAAATTATACTGCTCTTTATTTAAGGATCTCTACCCCCATCTCAGTGGCTCGAAGAGTGATGCAGGGGTCGCCACATAGCCTGCTAGTGGGACAGGGTGCCCTGGAGTTTGCTAAGAAGTGTGGCTTCACTACTCAGTCTAACGATCATCTGCTGACAGCACAAGGAAGGGAAGAATATGAAGTAAATGTGTGACTTATCTCAATCATACGTACCTAATACAATATAGTTATAGTGTCTGGCACAGTGTACAGCTGATGACACCTATGCGGGACTTCTGTAACACAGTGCATTATTTATTTATTAAATATAGTTTGTGTACATATATATATTAACATCACATTTTATCACCGAAGATAGACATTTGGTATGTGTAAACTTGATAAAATTGATTATTGACAACTTGGAATTTCAAATTTCTGTATTGAATATACCTTTTTATTGTTGATTTTTGTACTTTCTTTTTTATCATTTTATTTTTAGAAATTTTCTCATAGATTACACTATGAGAGCCTGTTTGATAAGCATGACACATTGGGTGTTATTGCTCTGGATAGGCATGGGCAGATTGCAGTAGGTAGGATATGCATTATTTTAGTTGTGGTATTTTGATGGTTGAGATGGTACTGTGATTGTGGCATTGTGGTTGAGATGCTGCTGCAGCATTTGAAGGGTTGTGGCATTGCAGCAGATGTGTTATTTTAATTGTTATGACATTGTGGTGGTTTTGGTATTTTGATAGTTGTGACATTGACAAAATTTTAACATTGACAGGGGTATAATGCTCATGTCAGTGGCTTGAATGTGACATGCTGATGACATGAGTAAGCTTTGTTTTTTGTTTTAGTTTAAGTGGGTTCTTGTTTGTTAACTTTTTTTTATATTTCAAGTACATCATTTAGGGTCAAAAGCTATCTTGATCTCTTTTAATTAAGGGCATATATAGTTTCCTCTTTCAAAATTTATCATTAGAGCATGTTCTCTTTTCCTATGTTCCTAAGGTGTGTCATCTAGTGGTGCCCCTTTTAAGGCTGTGGGAAGAGTTGGTGACAGTCCCCTACCAGGAGCAGGGCTCTATGCAGGTGCATGTAAATGGGCATTAGATCACTTAAGATATGTACATTTATGGTTGTGTATTCATTCAAAGTTAATGATCTGTCATGTCTTTGACCAAGTGGCATGATGAGGTGCAGTTTCTTTCATAAAAATACAAGTAATGTTCTGCTTTCCAGGAACAATGCAGAGATTTCTCTTGTGAACTGAAAAAGTGTCATTTGTCAGTTGTTTCATGGTAGTGAAACTTGCATTGTATGCCTTTAAATATACATTGAATTTCAGATGATAAAGCAGGAGCTGCCTGTGCCACTGGGGACGGAGATAAGATGATGAGATTCTGCCCTAGCTTCCATGTTGTACAACTCATGAAACAGGTACAGTTTCACCCCGACTTAAATACAGATATAGTCTGAGTGAATTTATTTATATTCTCTTATACTCATCACTGGTAGTGTTGTCTTTTGGTTTCAAATATGTAGAATGACGATAATGATGACAGTGCTCTAATTATTAAATGGTTTTCATTCTTCTTTAGTAAAAGTCAGTTATCTCTTGTAATTGATAGGCTGCATTTTGTGTCATGCTAAAACATTTTACTTGGAAACGAGTGCATGACTGTGTGGATGTTTTTAGGGACTGTCTCCCTCAGAATGCTGTTCCAGTGTTGTAGCAGAGATGGTAGAGAGACTTGGGGAAGATCCACCATTAGAAATAGGCCTCATAGCCATGAATATGCAGGTGAAACTTAAATTGTCGTGATTTAGTTTTTTTTTTTTTTTTTTTTAATTTATGCATTGCCATGATTTTTACAGGATATTTGTCAAACGGAAGTTAGTATCATAGATTTTGTGAAATTTGTAATTGAAGACTGCCTGTATCATATTGACAAAATAAAAACATATGCCTAGAAAATGTGCATCCGACACGTCATGTAATAAAAAAAAAAACTTTCACATACAGTTACTTTCTGTAGTGCCAAAACTGCATATAAACTTGACAGCAGACTTTCATTTTTGACCAGAGAAAGATAAATAGTTGGTTGCAGGGTTGGGGAATGCCCCTTTCAGCTATGTTGGATCTGTTTGACAGAGAGGAAGGTAAACAGATGGCAAATATTGTACATGAAGGACAAGGTGTGGACAATGAAAATGAGAAATGTTGGGGAAGGTATGGGATTTGAGTGAGAATGCCATTTTCATTTCAGGGTGAAATAGGAGCAGGTAGCACTGTTAAAATCTCCGGAGGGCATAATGGAAGTTCATCTTACAATGGATTTGCTTATGCTGTGTGGCAACACGATTGTGAAGACCCCAAGATACTGGTTCACAGCTGACGTATTCTGTATGGTAACATGACAGTAAGGCAGCAAGGAAACTGGTTCACAGCTGTACTATGGTGTATGGTAACATGACAGTAAGGCAGCAAGGAAACTGGTTCACAGCTGTACTATGATGTATGGTAACATGACAGTAAGGCACCAAAGATACTGGTTCACAGCTGACGTATTCTGTATGGTAACATGACAATTTATAAGGCACCAAAGATACTGGTTCACAGCTGTACTGTGGTGCATGGTAACATGACAGTAAGGCACCAAAGATACTGATTTACAGCTAAGTTATGCTTTATGGTAACATGGCAGTAAGGCACCAAAGATACTGATTTACAGCTAAGTTATGCTTTATGGTAACGTGGCAATAAGGCACCAAAGATACTGATTTACAGCTAAGTTATGCTTTATGGTAACATGGCAGTAAGGCACCAAAGGTTCTAGTTTACAGCTGACCTGTGATGTATGGTAACATGACAGTAAGGCACCAAAGATACTGGTTTACAGCTGACCGTTGGTGTATGGTAACATGACAGTAAGGTACCAAAGTTACTGGTTCCACAGCTGACCTAACATTACATAAAAGGAACCAGGATTTTGGTTCAAGGTTGACCTATGCTGTATGATAACTTGATGGTACATCCTTGTACACATTACATTACGAATATGTAATCAGTTTGGATAAGTCACAGCACAGCTGTCTGTGCCTGATGTATAAGAATTTAAAGCTATGATCAGCTATATGCCAGGATTTGCTATAATGTAATCTTGTGAATTAATTGAGTAAAGAAACTGAAAATAAATTCTTTTATCCCGTAAAAAATGCATTTATTGTCAGGTCAAAATAGAATATAAGGGGCTCAATCTTTCTTACAATACAAAACAATATTAATAGAGATTATGCTGTAAATGCAAAGCTGTTTAAAGTACAGACAAAGAAAATAACGACAGTGCACAAAATGTTTTTCTTTTTTCAATTTTGATATAATTTTGCATTTCATTTTACAGCAGAATCTCCACCACTATTGTTACCTTGGAAATTGAGCAAAAGGTTCAATTAAGCTGCTTTTTGAGCTTGACCTCCATTAAATGCTATTAATCCCATCAGAAAATTTGAGGCTAAGGCACTTGCATTTACAGTGAAAAATGCACGGTAACAATGGTTTTGATTACGACGGTGGCTACATGTTCAGATTGCGTCTGTTCATAAAAATCACAAAATACAAATCATATCAAATTAATTTCATTTTATTTACAGATTTACATAGTTATTGTCCTTAAAATATGTTAATGGCAATATTTACTTGGTATTCTATAAAATGTGCTAATCATAAGTATTGTGGATGTAGTCATTAAGCATGCTCCTATTCCTTAAAATTAAGGATACAAATAATTTCTAACTGGTCCAATGCTATAACGCAAGAGAACCTTCATTTTCAGTGTACAAAAAGCTTTTCGTAAGTTCTTTTCATGCTACACATGTATATAAACGTGAAAAAGATGCATAAGTGGATGCATAAAAGAGCCTTTTAATAACAATAAATCACAGCATGCCATACTTCATTATAACAATTACTTTAGATTATGCCTCTGCCTAATTAATCCAACTTGGCCTACAACACAGCACCATATGAAGGTCACAACAATGACCTCCCTTTTTTGGGACATGGCATACACTGCACAACTTAGCTATGAAATATATAGTATGGCATAATGAAAATTTTTGTAGTTTTTTTTTTAAAGGAAACTCAATGTTATCCTATGCTGTGTTATTTAACAAAAATTGCCTCAGACATTGTGAATCTATTTCACACTCCTTATAAGTTAAGATAATTTTACATATATTTACATAGGTATGATGACAAGTTAAATAAGAGTCTACATACATACAAATGTATTTGGTATACTGTAAGTAATAACATAATTAGAATTTTGACCTCTTTCCTTGGAAAGTAATTTTAAATAGCTCACATGATTTGCACATAAATTGACACTAATTATCAAGTACACAAAGATCGTTGTGTACAGTGTGCTGTTCTCACAGTAATTAGGTACTAATGAACTTGACTTCATGTGTCTGTGTTCCTATTTTACCCCTATCAAATTCTATGTCTCCTAAAGTTTTGAATCTAGACTTCATCATCAAATCCCACCGCTGCCACCAAATATTGTAATACCACCACCTGTGCATATAGTCTAGCAGTACTAAAATGTCATGGTCTTCAACCTATAATTACAACTTATGACAGTTCAACTGGTTTTCCTGCATTTGTAAGCAATAAAATTGGTACATCTGAACTCGCATTAACTTTACAAAAATCGGTGATCACCCAACTTTTCTTTTAATTTTACATATAAAACAACACATTTTCTTCACATAATAATTTTTTGCACTGATTTATCATCTAACTTTTAACCAAAGTTATCACAGAAGAGATAAACAGGAGATCAGTTAGCATCCCTGAAATAATAATTATCTCTCTCTCACACGCGCACACNGTAATGTTCACCAAGCAAAAATATTCTGTAGATTAAGAGAAATTCCTAAATGCGTCATGGCCGCAGGTCTTTTACAGTTACCTATATGATTGGCATATTTTTTCATATGTAGATCTAGCACCTTTGTGCAATTTATTGATTAAATTATTTGATTTAGATACAAATATCCCGCCGTTCCCGCTAACGCAGATATTTCAGCGCGACGGGTCGTTCATATAACGATTTTAACAGAAAACGGTTGAACTATAAAGTTCAGGGGCCTGTCAAAAAGCTAGGACCTAAATATTGAAACTTATCTTCTATCCTAGCAAAAAGTCAACGTTCTTATGCTCAGCGTGAACTTCTAAAAGTTGAACGGCGACTTTATGAATTATTGGTCTGTTGTAATGGTTTTATTTATGCCAATTTTACCAACAACTAATTAAAAGAAACCATAAGTTAGACTCCAGAGGAAAAGGAAAATACCCGAAATACAACGAAAAATAGTGTAAAAACATCATACCTATGGTACACCTATCAAAATCTCTACCCGTTCAGGACATTATAAGAATTTGTTTTGCAATACTAATTGCTTATTGAATGATGCATTAGCAGCAATCTCCACCATCCTCCCTTAAACAGGAGTCTGAATAATGATATAAACAGAATACTGTATTGTAAAGTTAAACTCAGATGACGCACATACACGTATGAGATAGATGGTCAGTCAAAATTTCCGTCAGAGAAGAAGCTGCATTAGAGCACTGGATGTGAAAATAAAACATCTGCCTTACATGTTGCATAGTAATTTATTCAAATTTCATATAATTTCTTTTCCTTTCAAAACCCCATTCTTTTGACCTCCTTCGAAAGCATACATGCGTTCCAGCTGGTAGAACAAAAGACCAAGAGAATGCAGTATATCATTTATTCATTTATAAGAAAATAATTTCCTTGAAAAACCAAGGCTGTCACAAACAACTCTGGGGAGAACATATAGGGACATATGTAAATGCCCAAAACCTCAAACTGTTCAAAAAGTTTTAGAAAATTAGACCTTAATTAAAGTAAGTCCGAATAATACTTGGTTCCTTATCAACTGTGTCTGTATTATACACTTCTTAACTCTATTAAGGAGTAAGTTGAGCCTTTGTTGGTTTGTAATTAACATTCTTACTCAAAAAATAATGGACGGATTTTGATAGAATTTTTCAGGATAGGTCAGAAACAGGCTCACTTAGAATCGACTAGATTTTGACGGCGATCCTGTAATTATTATTATAAGTAATAATGAGAATTGAGCTGTCTAGGCAGAAGTCTACTCTCTCTGAATGCTTTTCTAGTCCCTTTAAATTTCTTTTAATCTCTTCTATAACTAGTCATCATCATCATCTTTTGGCATTCTCTTGGACACATTAGCCTTGGCTTGACCCAGAGCTATCTGCCTTGCATTGGAGCCAAACGTCAAAGTGCTTATTGTTTCAGTAATATTCCGAACATCGGGGCTGACGGCCACAAAGAGACAGGCCTTGGCGTCGCCCCCTAGTGCTGGCTGAAGAATGTGTGTCAGCTTGGAATTCCTGTATGGTATATGCAGCTGGCTGGCACGCAGGGCACTGAACACCTGAAATGAGATTTAAGTGTATTGGGTATAAAATTGCTGTAACGTTTTGATCAAAAACCTGCCATAATCATATGGGTTTTCGTTAATTACCTGTACTTGAAGGCAATTTTCATTCTTATTTTGAATTATGTATAGAAACTATGACATATCTTAATTTTAGTTTACTTAATTTACAAACTCGTTTGTCCTTACTCTTAGTTTTTGCTGTTGTAAATTTAATTAAATTATTATAATCTTAATTTAATTTAAAATTACTATATGTGAAATATTTTCATCACTACAACAAACTTAAGCATCATACATTTGATTATCGAGATATTTAGAACATTGATGTTAAATTATCATCTCTGCAGGCCTGTAAATCAGGGGGAGGATGCCTTGCAAAATAAATAAATAAATAAATAAATAAATAAATAAATAAATAAATAAATAAATAAATGCCCACCTGTCCCAGTGCAGTAAGAGACTTATTAATGGCAGCTGCTTCCACTAAGCGCTGTCCCTGAGCCTCTGTCTTCCCGACTCTTTCTGAGCCAGCGAGATCACACAACATCAGACTTCCGCTGGAGTGGGTACCAGCTTTGCGGTTCAACCCTTCCACTGACAGCTTTAGAATTAGGTGAGACCGAGAGCTGGAGAAGAAATGTTGTGTCTGTCATTAGTGTTTTAAGTGAGAATACCCAGCAGAGTTGAATCCATCTAGCTAGTATGATGTGTCTATCTGAAATTTTTGTTGTGCAGCTGACCAAAGCTATTGCTTGACAATGTGTTTAAAGAAAGTTTCCTACTATCTTTAGTGCTATATCAGCATTGAATAGCCCACTATTAAATCAGCACCCCATAGAAAAAAAGTCAAGTATTATTTCTTATTTAAACTACAACACAAGAAAATGAATTAGAATGCATAAAGGTCAGATATACTTTGAGACATCTCCACAATACATTTAAAGAAGAAAAAAAAAATACCATGTCAGTTCTTATCCTAATGAAAATAAATTATAAATTCTGTTATTTGCTATTTTCACACCTCTGAGAGTTCATCTTAGTAGCAGCTGTAGTTCGGTTCTTATTTCCCAGTTCCATAACGCGCTGGATGTCCGCCATCGAGGTCACCTCGACCTCAGTCAGCCCAGGGATGACCACTTTGTTCCCTTTGCTCTGGACAGGTAGTGTCTTCACATCACTGGACAGCAAGTCCTGGACATTCTCATTGTAGATTTCTAGGAGTGATACCTGAATTTTATTTGAAAAAGAGACAAAATCTTGAAAACATCAGTAAAAGTTGTTTATATTTATTCAAAGAGAAAAAAATGCTTGAATTGGTTAGAAAAAAATTGTCTCTATCCATTTTAAAAGAAACAAACATCAAATCAATAAGACTGTTACATTCTTATTAAAAATGCAGAAGTATGAGGGTGACATTCTATGTAGTGTGATGAATTTTTTTCATTATTAAAAAGTAAAATTTCCTAAAAATTTCTATTATTAGATATTTCTAAATGTCAGCTGCTGTTATAAATGTTCAATAAAGACACCACAGACCTTTAAAGTATAGTCAGCTTTGTCACTCCTCTCTTTACAAATCTCTAGCAAAGCCTTTATTGATCTGAAGACAATGAAAATAGATATATAAGTCAGAAGTATAATTGCATCACAAATACTTACAATACAATTTTAAGATCTATGATAACCAACCGTAATAATTATATAATTAAAAAATCCATTACACATTAAAATATTTCCCTTTAAAGTTTTTAGTACAAAATTCATATATATTCTACAAGGCAATAAAGACCTGATATTGACTCCCGGGTCGTGCTCAGGTCCCATCATGGTGTGGGTCTTTCCTGACCCCGTTTGTCCGTAGGCCAAAATGCACACATTGTACCCGTCAACGCAGGAGTGGATGATTGGCAGCGTGTCTTCAAACACCTGAAACACAGTTTTGTCATATATTTGTCGCAGTATGTTTAATTTATATATTTTATATCATTTTCACATCAAGTGACAAAGTATTCTGGACTGCTCCAGTTTTAGATATTGTGACTGAAAAGGGTCCTTTTTCATGTATTTACTTAGCTCCTTCAATTTTTTTTCATAACTGCTGGTACAAATGCCCAACTGTTAAAAAAAGTTTTCAGTACGTCTGTTAAATTGAGAGGGAAGATACCTCAGTTTGCTTGGAGCTGGGGGAGTACACCTTGTCAAAGCTAAAAATCTTTTTCTGCTGTGTTGCTGGATTGAATGTTGCAATGTCCGAATCTGAAGGAAACTCTAAGGAGCACTCCACTCTGTTGTCATAGCGACATCTGGCAAAGACGCGGATGTTGCCTCTCAATTCTTGTAACTGAAAAATGTCGAGTAAGGGTATTAAGAAAATTATTACTGGTATTATAAAAATCCAGTTTTGCATTCTAAAATTGTTATTATTGGGGTTATATGTGAAATTCAGTATCATCCTCCATTACGAGAGAAACTAAAACATCAGAAACTAGAACTCAAAATCAGGTAAACCAATAATAATCTTGTCAATGGTCTTGCATATGGGGCACTCTGGTGATTTGGGTCAAAGCAATGAAATATCCAGGAAATTTATTGTTTTTGTGGAATAAATGTCCGATACTCAGTGTGTGTCTCTTTGAGTGAGTCTCAAGTTATCGCTGTACATCTGGTTGCACATCAAACCAAGCTTGTACAACATTCACCTTGTTATACAGCAACTTTCTTTCCAGAGCTTCCTTTCTGTAAAGTTCCCTGAGATCTTCAATTTCTCTGGATTGTCCACTGTCACAGCTCCTGATGTCACGCATCCCATTGATGGCCTGAAATACCGAGATGAATTATCAAATTGAACACATATGTTATGATCATTACAACTGGACATTATCATACGATATAATAATGTCATTTCTATAACTAAATATTAACTGTAGTTATTACATTTACTGTTATAAAGAGCTGCAGATTTCAAAAGATAAAATTTAAAGGACAATTATGATTATTTTAATGACCACGTGACATGCTATACAAAACTTTCATTTTGATTTGTTTGTTGTAACCAATGTAAGGAGTTATTGGCTATAAATCACTAATAATTCTGAGTTGCACATGTACTAGTAGTAGAGGTAATAGGCTAGCTGTCTGTCAGAAGCCCAGCAGGACTCAATCTACACATTCAATTGTGAGAATGTAATTTACTCTGAAGATGAAAACACACACGTGGCCACAGATGTGACAGCAGTGAGTGAAAAATTATATTGCCATATGTGACAGCAGTGAGTGAAAAATTATATTGCCATATCTTCATGCTCCCCTACAGTGGAAACAAAAATCTAGTTGCATAAATATCAAATTTAAAATGACCACAAATTAAAAACTTATCCTTATAGTTACAGTTCAAGTCTCACCTTCTTCATGAGGTCTGATATCTCCCCCACATGCTTCTTGACTGCCATCTTGAGCTGAATATGGGACTTGTGCAAGTTTTTGGCTGATTCGCTCAGTGCCCTGGCTGTCTTAGGATCAACAGAACTCTTCTCCACAGTTACGACCTGGTATGTCAATGGACAAACAACATGGTAATTACTTGATTTTTATGAATGGGGAAAATTGTGAATTTTAAATTCTTTAAACATCCATTCTTAAAATTAGAACATTCCTACTGAGTGGTAGAAATGAAACTGAAAAGCAGGCTACCTAATAGTACTGCATTTGACAGGAAAAGTACCAAGATCCTACAAAGATTTATATTTTTTTTATGTTTTTATAATTTTGTATATCTGAAAAATGTCTGAGTGGTAGCAACAACACTGAAAAGCAGGCTACCTACATGTAATAGTTCTATTCTATACAGAAAAATTACCACAAATGCTGCACAGATATAATGTTTTTTAGATTAAGAAATCATATAGCTGAAAAATGTATAATTTTTTCCCATTGATAAGACTGAGTCATTACCATACATATCAATGTCAGACAGAAATTTCTAATTTTCAAAAATATGGTTCTTTTTTTGCCCCTAATTAGTTGACCAAACTAGCTCCTAAAGAAAGTTATTAACTGAAATTCCACCTAACCTTTGCTGTCTTGGGCCTGGCTTCTTGCAGTGCTGTGAGACGCACATTGGTACTCTTGTTCTCTGCCTCGAGTGTCGACACTCTGTCTTCTAATGATACAACCTGCAAGAAACACAAGCAGTATTATTTATATAGAAATAGCTTATTACAGTTATATGTCAATATGGAAATTGTAAAAGTTGTATAATATTTGTAGCTAAGTAGAACAACAAGATATTGTTTTACTACATGTAATTTATTATGAGCTCTGACCTGAAAATGCACATGTTAAATGTACAGGCAGTTACCTTTTGATTGCTTTTCTTGAGCTCTTCCTTGCTGTTTGCAAGTTGCTGTTCCTGTAAGGAGAATCAAGTTACTTTTAGAAGATGTAAAAAAAAAAAAAAAAAAAAAAAAAAAAAAAAAATTAACAACACTGTTAGTCACTTTCATTTCCATCATGCTATAAAAGGTATTACTGGGCATTCTGGAGCATAACTTTATGGTGGACCTTAAATTTGTTTTTAAAATGCCATTGGTGGTGAATGCATATAAAGAGTCAACATTCAATTACATGTAGCCTCCTTGAGTGTACAATCTTTGCATGCTGAATATAGTAATTGATGCACTGATACAAAGAATCGTATGTCCAGGTAACAGAGAGCGTTAAAGAATCCAAGGGAGACCACTACATGTACAAGGACTGTTATCATGTTTACCAAGCTCTTGATAGTTTTCTTCAACTTTTCTATTTCTTTGTCCTTTTGTTCCATCGAGTTTGCATCAGCTGCACTGTTTTTTGTCCGTACAATTCCTGAAAATTATGGTAACATCAAAGAGCTTAGTTCAATGGGAAAATCTCAGTACTAAGTATTGCAACACACACACACACAAACACACACACACACACATGCACACCATTCTCTATATTTTTAATGGTACATGATTTTTATATCTAAATTTATTTTTGAGTTTAAACAATTTAGGTGATAGTTTTTGTTATTAACAAATGTGCATGAACTAAAAAACATTACTATAATAAATAAAATTAACTATAGGAAGCACAACTAAATTAAGTCTTTGTGATATCAACTTATTATGTGTATTGTGTGTATTAGGTATTATGTGTACACAAAAAGCTTACCCTTCAGCCATGGGTCTGTCACTGAAAATAAAAACATGAAAACTTTTTAAATGCAATGGTTGAAAAATGCAAGAGAAACAAACTTTAAGCCAATCATCACATTGGCTTAAAGAATAAAATCAAGATGGCAAGCTACTGAGTCTTAACCAACTTTAAAAATTAATTTAGAGGAAATCTAAAAAAAAAAAAAAAAAAAAAAAAAAAAAACTCAAATCTCAATCTGCAAACAGTTCATTATAAGTGATGTCTACAATGATATCATTATTTTGAGAATGATAAAAGGTGTCACTTATATATGTTTGAAAAGAAGATGGCCGCCTCACCTGGATCTCCAATATTGAAATACGTCGATATGCACTCGTGTGGGTCATAGTTTGATGCTCTAAGTGACGCTAAGATGTCATGACTATTTGTCCAGTCTGGGATTGTCTCCTTTCACATAAAATGTCACAGTTTGTTATGACATGCCATATATAATGCAGGCTTTAACATTAACAGACTTAACTGTCATTAAAAGATAATAAATAAGGATATGTCTTATTTTAAATAAACATTACCATGCATTTACTGATCTTAAACTTTCTTTGGACCATGTCATATATTCTCCAACAAATTTTGAAGAGATGAAGTATGATCAAATAGTGCAAAATCAAAATTAAGGACACAAAGAGAAAATCCAATCATATTGTTCTTAATGCTATCAATCAACAGTAAACTATAGTTTTTTTAACTTAAATATGACAGCCCCCCTCCCCCCAGAAAATATTCAGCTTTTTAGCAAACATTTACCATTCCGCTAACTTTTTTATTTACAGGAGTATATCCCTGAGAAAACCATGCATACATGCACCAGAACTTGGCGCTAAGGGGATAAATCAATACCATTACAAATACACTAGTTCTACCAGTACTAAAATAAAAAAATATACCTGAATGATATCCATGAAGTCTTTGATAACATCAGAGTGGATTTCATACCCAATGGGCAGTTTGATCCACTGACCAGTGTCATTGTCAAAGTAACAGTGGACATTGACACGTTCCTGGAAGAAAAAGATGTATCTCAATATGCCACCCTTTGGTGAATCATGTGCTGTGTAAAGTATAGTCCAAATCTTGGACGAGATTTCTTATGTAATGCTACAATATCTTAGCATTAATTAGGAAAGAATAAGTTTGCTAATTACATAGTAAATAAATCAGTTGTGCTGTCAACATTCTGTTTCATGCAAAAAAATTAAAAACATAACATGGGCTTAATTTATTATTAACATTCCAATAGAGACTATAAACACCTTTCAGGCAACAGTCGCCCTGCATGTCATAGGTAACTGGAGATTAACCACTGTTATCAACATGTACAGGTTAGCTTTCTGTATTATCTGCTAAACTCAGGGTTGCACCAGCAAACCAGAATATTTTCAGTTGGTAAGTTTTTGAATAAAAAAAAGTTTTTATCTTTGTATTGCTGAATAAGGAATGCTGCCTTAAAGAACTATTAATTTTTATTATTATTACNACAGGCATGCAGGCATTCAAACACAGATCCACAAATAAAATCCTGGTCAAGAAGCACTAGTATTTTGGTAGTCTACTAATTTGCATAAACCTTTTTCAAATTATTCTCAAGTCAATCCCATCTTCTATGTAGTACATATAAAGGCACCTTCTTATTTCAGTTAACTCATTAGTAGGAATACCATCCTCAAACACAAACAACTTTATTTTATCGGAAATGTCAAAAGTCTTCTTTAGTAACACCTTGAGCTCTTGGACTGTTTGATTTACGTTTAGCTGCATCATCTTAACCTACAAAAATAATTACTTTCCATTACTGTTTGTAATATGTGTTTCATTATCATCAGTACTGAATAACTGCAAAAGTAAAAACAAACTTTGGATTTTATACTGTGTTCTGATTGTTTAATTTAATCGCGTGGTGTTACAGTCAAACTTTTCTTTATTGCAAAATGTACGGTAGGTTCTATCCATTTCCTTCCTTCCCTTTCACGAGGTTCTACAGTAATGTCACATCCATCCTCATAGAGGTAAGTGTACACATATTTTGAGGGGTCCATCTCCCTCGCTCTGTAGGGAATAGTGCCCTCTGCATTATTATAATATAATGCTATGCCACATTCTTTTGGAATTTCAAAAAGCTTGCGAATTAGATTTTTTAAATCCACAATGGAGTTATCCAGGCATATGCTCAGCATTCTTACCTGGAGGAGGGAAAAAAAGCAATATTGGAGCTATGATTTAACATGCATCGTACTTTGTTAAAAAAATTAATTGAAATCAATCGTGCAGTTTTTGTCTAACAAGAGCTTAAGGACAGGATAAGCAGAACAAAGAAGACTAACTAACTCTGCCATTATTTGAGCTTGTCTTAGCCACACAGAGATTTAACTTGATTTGTTTTGTTTTTGTTTTTTTTAAACAACACAAAAAAAAAAGCAAAAACAAACAAAACAAATACAGAACAATGACACACATTTCAAATTTCACATCCAAAGCACTTTTCATGGCATTGACCAAGCATTTATATGCTTGCCCTTTCCAAATGACAAAAAAAAAAAAATTAAAATGGGAAAAAGCTGCTCCCACCCCCTCATAATATAATGGGCCTTTAGTACTCACCTTCGTGTCATATGTGACCCTGACAGTGACCGTGTGGGTGGGTGGTCCCAGGTTGACGTCAGCAAGTGGGTCAAGCTGACCATGGGTCTTCTCTAACTCCATATATCTGGAAAAGATAAGAAAAAATATGAAGACTTAGGGTAATTTATGAAGATCATATCCATCTTTTCACGAATCTTATTTGACATTCATGAGATTTGTTTTCTCAATTTTTTGTTTGTTTGTTTGGGAAGAGACACTAAAGAATCCCGAATCAACAACAACCTGAACCAAACAAAAGCAATTCTTTGCCTTTACATCTGGTGAGTAAATGAATACCTTTCTGGTTTTTCCTCAGAATCCATGAAGTGTCTCAAAAAAGCTCTTTCTGCTTTATCTCTTTCTTCTTCCTGGATTTTACTGCCATTCAGTCTATTGATCCTTGGCAGCCTGGCTATAAGGAACTGTCTACGTTGTTCTTCCTTCATATCCTAGATTAAAAAAGAAATCAACAGTTAAAACTATGCAGTGGTCTAGGAGCTTGTACTCTAACCTACATTATAATTTACTGTTAGGCATGTGCAATGAATATGATGAACTCTTGAATATGCACCTTAGGCGTGTTTGTGTGTGTGTACATGAGTGTGTGTGCATGCCCACACACACACAAACACACTAGTCACACACACAGGCATCCACTCATATACACAAACATGCATCAAGTCACACATACAAACAAACACACACACACACACACACACACACACACACATGCATCAAGTCACACACACACAAGCATTTAGCCACACAAACACACACAAAACATCACACAGACCCCCTCCTCACCTCCAGCAGTGGCACTCCCTGTAGTCTAACATCAGTGAGCGCAGGGAAACTGTTCAGCCTGTCTATCTCCTCCCAGCTGGTGATGCCAATCTTATTGGCATTCAGACTGACCACCTTTGGGAAACTTGCCTCGACTTCTGAGTCATCACAAAGAGACACCTCACTCTCTGCCATCACCAGATTACAAAGATTTGGGAAGGCCCGTCCCAGTTTGCATATTTCTCCCCAGTCCCTGAGTTTGTTGGCATTGAAGTGGAGGTTGACGACATTTGGATATTTTTCTTTGAGATCAACCTCTGTGTAATCATTGAGGCTAAGGTGAAGTTCTTCAACGCTGAAAGAAAATTCTTGTTCTAACAAATTTTTCTGAGGTTGCTTAGACAAAAACATATTTATTTTATTAAGTATAACATCACTTCTTTTTAGTAAGTATCAAGATTAATTTTAGACTTTTATACCCAACTATAGTGCAGTGAAAGGTTTCTAAAGTATGAATTTTGATCAAAACTAACAGGTAAATCATTTACATCGCTTCTACAAGACCCTGTTTAGGAGACTGGATAATGCAAATACGGAAGTATAATACTTTTTTTTTTCTTACCTTGGCATAATCTTCAGTAACACTTCCACAGTCCTCCATGCTGCTCCAGTCTTGTTTAAGATGAGGCGTTTTATATTTGGAAAACTTTGGTTGCCAACCTCATCATCAATCTCTGCCATCAGTGGGTTACAACTAAAGTTGATGCTTTCAATCTTTGGCATAACTGACATCATCTTGAATATCTGCAAGTAAAATAAGAATAAAATAGATCCTGGCTAATTAAAGAATTTAAACCAGAAAAAAATCATTCCTAGTCAATGAAAATAAAAATTTACATTTGTCTTTTAGGCAAATTTACTAAACTGCATTCAGCCTCATGAGAGGTAAATCTGCCACCACTCTAAAAAAACATTGTTGAGTGATCCAAATAATTTTTTTCGCTAAATTAAACAGAATTTAATTCAAAGAAGTCATCAATTTACAAAAAATTTTGGCCAGTGAGTAATGATTTGGTGAATTATTAACAAGTACTAAACAACATCATTACTCAGCATACCAAATCCAACATATCTCCATATCTGTGATAGCACAAATATCAAGTTTATTACTTCATGCAATTTAGGAGGATTCCAACTGATATGATTGTACCTGAATGACGTAGTATGATTTATTTAACTTACTTGAATGATATAAATCATGTAAATATCTGTTATCTTTAGAACTTAGTCTTAGCTACTTAAAAAATTCATAGGTGAGCACAAGAATAAAATACGGAGGTTAACATGTCAAACAGTGAAAACTGTATCAGACTTTACGAAAGGCCAAAAAATCTGTCAGACATTCGGTCTGACAAGCTTGAAAATTCTGTCAGACCGAAACAAAATCTGTCAGACCGAAGTAAAATAATAAAAATATGAACCATTATTCATCTTTTCATGTGTATTTTCTAACGTTTTAAATCATTGACATTAAATCAATTATTAAATTTTTGATATATATATTTGTAAAAAAGTAAAATTAGAAAAAAATAGGCAAAAAAATTACTTGCATAATAAGTTGCTTTTTATTTAATGAAAAAGATGCTGTGGAATGACACAAGGACTAAAAACAATACAAGTATGAAGAATGTGTAGCTAGTAATATCAAATGTATACATGTCCATAAAAACGTCTGTTAATCAGATAACCATTTCACACATTGTTTTTGGCAATAACATATTTGGCAATAACAATTCATTATTGTGCATTTTGAAACAGCACAATTGAAGCTTTGACAGGGACTGTCCGGTCCGAGTCTAAGTTTCTTCTTCATTTTATTTCTTTTTTTATAAAAAGAAACTCAAACTGTGAGCTTTCATCAAGTTCATGTGCACTTTCTCCAACTAGTGGTGAACGGTACAGTACATGCAAATACGTACATATGTTCCATAATTTAAGAACCCGTAATAAAGCTGTAACATTTATGTTGCTATTGATCAAAATGATAACTTTAGTACTCCTGACACTCGGCACACACTATTTTCCTCTCCTACAGATCATAAGTCCGCCAGGGCCTACCTTCTTTCCAATTTTAATAAACTTCCGTTTCTCTTCCTCACTTCATTTTCATTTTTGCCACGCTTTGCACCAACGAAATGTTTAAAGTTCAACAACGTCATTTCTAAGCAAAAAGCTTATCCATGAGTACTATGTACGACTGATAATGAAGAAACAGAGGATCAAGCCTGTAAAAACGCAAATAGCACGAGCACATGTGTTGCGGCCATTTTGTTGTGTAGGGGTATTACGAAAACGAAAACGAGACTGTACATTACATCATTCAGGAATCCCCCAACCTCAGCCAGTCACAAAATACTATTTGTGAGTGAAACTGAGGTTAATATATTATGTATAATTACTTGGGAACTCCCCGAGATTTTCACCCCGTCTCTCTTTTTGAATGAAGTAAAATATATCGTCCAGAAAAGAAACAACAACGTATTCCTTATATTTACACATTCCCAGTCAGTTTGAAAACTCGCCGGACATAAGGTCCGACGATACAGGATTTTTTATCGGACCGAGACGAAATTTGCCAGGCATGTCCGACGGTCCGACGCCTTTCGTAAAGTCTGCTGTATAAGACAGACTTTGTAAGTCCAGAAAAAGATTCAACTAGATGTCTAAAAAATCCTTAGAAACTCACAACTACCCTATATATGTGTACTCATAATCAGTTATCCTTTGCTTTAATTAGTGACCAACTATAGTTATTTGCTTTAAGAGCACCCACAGCATAACGTTTGATAGAGGAAACTGTTCTTAATATTACCTCTTTCCAGTCAGATATACAATTGTTGGCAATGTCTAGCTCTGTCACCTTATCACAAAGGTTGGCAATCTCTTCCTCATTGCCTGCATGTGTTATACTGTGGTAGTTCATTGCCAGTTGTCGTGGAAGAATTAACTGGCCAGAGTCTGAAACAATCACATATATAAGCAAAGAAAATTGAGAATAAGCTTATTTTGAAAATTGTAGCAAAATATTTTGCTGAAATTCATGTCCTCAATACACAGCAACACATTTTCAAAATCTATCATTTTCTTCACATATTGGAAATTGAATGATCTCCTTTACCATACCTGATTCAGGTTGAGCTAGGCTTATCTGGAATTTCTCCAATGAAAAATTAATAAGGCCTTGGTAGTAAGTCAAAGCACCATTGCATAGGGTGATGAAGGGGAGGTGTCACATCACCAACGTTGTACTTTGAATTTAAAGCCTATTTATATTTTTTTCTCTCACCTGTCATTCCTGGTGCTGAATTGGGAACATGCATAACCAACACCAGGTCATTGCCCTCAGGTATGTCACTGTCCCCATACTTGTCATGGAGGGCTTTGAGAAATGTCTTTGGTTCTGTAGCTTCTGCAGCCATGTTTATGCACCAATACTGTAAAGACAAAATTGACATATGAAAAACGATAATGTATATTTAAGTCAAATTAAGTAAGTGCTATGTTCAGGTGGTTAAAATAAGTTAGCCAAGTTGTTGATAGAGTGCTAGAAGCACTACCTATATTGCTAGCACATGCACTACGATTTTTTTACCTGCACCAAATGTAGATGCTCATGTCTCTACTTCCCGTCCTAAAAATTATTATTGATTCTCATAAGTTAAAGGTTCTGATTTTTGCCAAATTCAGCTCGAACTGAATGCAGTTTCATCACATCTACAGCAATGAACTCTGCAATGTCTCTTGATCTTATCACTGCATTTAGACGAACAATGCAAATGTTGATTACCATTTTCTGTAAAAATTGCCCCTGTTCATTCTAGCCAAGTTCTAGCGCTTCTGAGCGAATGTTGCCCAGATATTCAGTAAGCTCAGATTTATTTTTAACACAACAATAATGACTCATTCAGACCTCTTACACAAAACAGCTGACGACGGTTTGAGTCGGAAATGAGGTCAGCATTGAAAGAAAGTTATGTTTTCATCCATACCGCATATAATATCTGCAGCATAAAATTGTGATCACAGCTGATCTTTTACACTGAACGAAGCCACTATCGCACAGAAATAATTTAAATAGTAATTTTCGTTCTAAGAAAATACAACGGACACTGGTATATTCCACTTACCTGTCAGGCTTTTGTGTATTTTGTTTAAAACGTCACTGCAGACTGTGAATACGTCACACGTTTTAAAGGTCTGCATAGATTAATAAAAATGACACTTAAATTTAAAAATAAATATATATAATGTTACTAATATACTAAAAACACTTTTCATTATTCATTTTACACCGAATATTCACCAAGTAGACTGTGTAAATGACAAAATGTTAAATACGATTTTCAGTAAATATAAATAAGTAATCAACCCAGACCTTAAACGTCCACGTCAAAGCGATGGAGAAGGATAACGAAAAACTTGATTTGAGTGGAAATCTCGACGGCCCTGCAGAATCTCAGCCTCTGGATCTTAAAGCGAAGTTAGTATCAAATGGCATAACGTGAATCACATTAAGATGCATAAATATTTCTTTGACATTAAGTTTACAGAATGTGAGAAGTAAAACAAAACTGACAGATCGAGGCGCTGATTACCGGCATGCAAATGCAGTGATGCTTGATAGATACATTTTAATGACGCGACACGTTTACTTCCGCGTGTTAATTACTGGCCACTTGTCCTAGGGTTTCCACAGGTGGTCAACTTAACTAGTATGTCTCTGTTTTAGCATTTGTTATAAACTTGTTAAATAATCATGATCGATGAAAACAAATAATAATGTATAGGCATAAACTTTAAAGGCATTATACCCAAAGAATGCAAATTTAGTAACCAAATAATGTTTTTAAAGAAATTAATCAATATACATGTAATGTATTTTTTCACTTACAGACTCATGGCAATTCAGCTGTCTAATGTATCTGCCAGAGAATGGCTTCAACACCGCCGTGAGACAGTCAAACCCTGGACAGAATTTTTGAACACCGCGAGGTTTAAAACCCCCAAGTCTGTGGCTCCAGTGGGGAAGAGGGTTGTGCGAAATGTGGAACATTTTCAAAGCAATTATTTATTTGTATTCCTGGGTCTTATTATTTTTTGTTTGTAAGTCTGTTTCTTGTCGTGATTATTTGTCACGTGATTTCATGATTTACAATGAGTGTGGTGAATTGTTTTGTTTAATTTGTGCATCTTTAAAAAGTTTTCATCAATCTTAATGAGTCCGTTTTTGTATTAAAATGTACTATATTGTTTTTTCTTAGGTTGACATCCCCACTGTTAATAGTTGCCTTAGCTGTCTGTTTAGGAGCATGCTACATCATCAATTTAAAGAATAAAGAAAGTAAATTATCACTTTTAGGTAAGTCTTACACCCCATTTCCATAGATTAGATCGACCTACTTTAGATCGACCTAACTCCCTGGGGGTTCACGCTAAATAGCTGTCAGCCGGGCGGACACGAAAGTTAATTACCCACTTACAGCTTGTAGTAGGCGGGACGGACATTTAAGTCGGATTATCTGAAAGTAATCTAGTGAGACTCCCCGGGGGGATAGATCGTTCTAAAATCTATGGGAACAGAGCCTTATTATCAGTCAGAGTGAAATAATTTAAATAACTAGCTCACGGGAAGTGTCTTTTCTTTAGGAAGTTTTTATTAGCTAATGACTTTCCTCTACAAAGATATTCTATAAATTTGAGTCATTTTCAGATTTACAGGTAGGTTTAAGGAGGGGCAGTGTGACTTACGTATTCTATCAGTGTGGTACCCTGATATTCAGTTTCAGTATCCACAAGAACAAAATTTGAACTTCATGTCCCATTATTTACAATAACCTTGACCTTCAGTGACTGGTTTTCTGGATCTGTCCACAAGCATTGTGGTTTTCCAGGGGCCAATATATTCTGCTTTCAGTTTTCAGTCTGCTATGCTTTTAATACAAAAGCTGATGTCACACTTGCTAACCACTCATTACATGTTGTCAGAGTTGTCTTTAGGCTTTAAAAAATTCATGTGTGAAGTGATCTTTTGACAACAGATGTTCGCTGAGTGTTTGTCAAGTTATTTTCATAGTCCACTTTAATATTGTTAAGTACTTACAAAAAAGCAGATACTTGTTATATAAGCATTATTTATTAAACAGATCCAGGACTTTGCTGTTAAATTGATACAATGCTAAGCTGAAATGTAATTAGTAGACCTGAAGTGACTTAGTCTACAGTACAAGGCAGCGGATGTAAAATGATCATTATTTTTAACTCTTGAGAATTCATATTATGTATATAGAAAGTGCTACCTGCATATTTGTGAGAGTTTTTGGTTAAATATTTATCATTGGTTTCAAAAGCTTGGTCTGGCTTACTGGTTATTTAGGTAGAATGAGTCTGCGTTTACTGTGTTGAATCAATCATAGCAAATATATAACTGTCAATTTTTTTTTTTTTTTTTTTTTTGGCAGTGTTTTTATTTTGTTTAAAATTTTTCACAAAAGATTGAAATTTTTATACACTTACTAAGCAACTGAAACTAATAGCTTTTAGAAACCAGTCTCTGTTCAGCAGTAATTAATAATAATAAAAATGGCCATCAATATATGCATGTTAATAGAAATACCAACAAAATTGAGAGTTATGAACAAGTAAGTAAATGTAAATGCTGAATTTAATAACTGAACCCAGGCAGAAGAAGGATTGTTTTATGTACTTCTTTATCATACAATATGTTTTATAGATTTATGGTTGATTTTTATATATTCCGTCCTCAGGCCATGAGGTCAGCCTGGCTCAGCAGTATGGAGCTGTTGGCGTGATATCATTCCCTCTGTTCTGGCTGGCTGGAGCAGGATCTGCAGTCTTCTGGGTTATTGGTAAGTTTTGTTTTTCTCAACGCACAATGTTGATGACAGTCTTTAATGAAATATGTGGTGATGAAATGCTCATAGATTACGCTACCACATCTACAGCTTGGTAGTGCTAACATTAACCAAATGCTGAAACTGAATTTAACTGGCGAAACAAAATGGGGTTGAATTGACTTGTTTTAGCCTAATTTAAACAAGTTGGAGAAAAAAGTGATGAAAAAGTAGGGATTTAGCTAAAAATTGCTTGTGCTACCCCAGAAAAGATTCAGTTTGATATTTTGTGTGGTTGCTTTTGTATAGTAATAATTAACATGACATATACCAGTACTGTGATAGTTCATGGAATTTGGAGTTGATTTATACTACTGGGTAGTATTTGTAATTTTTTGGATAGTCCTGAGTAAACATCTAAACACTTTCAAAGGTATATATGTATCATTTTGCCCACGCATTGTTTAATATGCAATCTTGAGTATTATTACCAACAATTGATCATAAATATTATCGCACTCTAGGATCCATCAAGATCAGTTGAAGTCATACTTTACAGATGGGAGAAATAAGCAAGAGCTGAAATAGTAAATTAATTTTTTAGATTTCTTAATATTTATTGCTGTTTTAATATTTTATGAATCAAATTTCAGGTGCTTCATTTTTCCTCATAATGGCTCATGCGGTATTCTATCAGACGACGGAGGAGTTGGAAGGGTTTGCTGATCTCAACATGGAAGTTGTATAGCACCCCATTTCCATAGATTAGATCGACCTACTTTAGATCGACCTAACTCCCTGGGGGTTCACACTAAATAGCTGTCAGCCGGGCGGACACGAAAGTTAATTACCCTCTTACAGCTTGTAGTAGGCGGGACGGACATTTAAGTCGGATTATCTGAAAGTAATCTAGTGAGACTCCCCGCGGGGATAGATCGATCTAAAATCTATGGGAATAGAGCCTAGGTGGCAGTCAAGTACAACAAGACAATATCACACAGAAGTTTTATAGGTGGCGGTTAATATGCCAAGACAATCCAGCACCGCTCAACATCAATGTATGGGAAGTGTTGTAAAATATCAAGGGTGCTGATGTCGTGTAGCATTTTTCATGCCCACTGTGGGACATAGTATTTTTCTAATGGAGGCTGATGTTAAATAATATTCAGCAGGAGCAGGCACTCTCTTCAACAAATGCTTAACTAATGCTACTGCATTTTCATATGATATTGTTTTTATTCTGGTATGGGTACATTTTTTGACTGCAGACTAAGTAATATTTCAGGTGATAAGCAAGACATTTTCGAGATTGAAATTTTGAAGTTTGTGCAACTGGTTCAGGATTCATTATGGTCTTTAGGGTTAAAAAAGAAATTTGTCTTTCTCAGTGGCATTGGAATGCAACAGACTACAACTGTATAAATATTTATTTTCACCAGAGAAAGGACTATAATGATAAACACACACTTGATGTTGCTGTGAAACTTGCCATAATATAGTACTGGTACTGTATGTAATATACTTGAGGGAACAGGACTCATCTTAGCTGTGATATTTTCCCATATTTTTGTCAGGGAAAGGCACAATGCAGTCTGTGTTTTCTTGTGTGTTTGTACATGACTATATGCATATCTATATTCATGTATATATTTAGTAGAAAGGGGGTTTGATTACACCAAACAAAAGGTTTGTGGAAGTTCTGCCAAAGGGGAATAAAAATATAATATTTTGTTGAACTTTTGTTGTTTTGGAAACACTGCAAAAGACAATTCTTAATGTCTGGTGCAGAAAAAAAAATCACTTCTAGATCTTCAGTCTTACTAGTACTGGCTTACAATACCTTTGTTACATGAGACCCAATTAAAATTTTGTTTGTTTGCCATTTGAATAGTTTTTCCAAGGCACTTCAAATGGTACAGTCCATAAACATAATGCATTTATACTGACATGATAAAAATTGAGGTGGATGTAATGTAAATTTTGATTAGGTGAAAAATATTGATGTATGACAGAAGCAAATTCCTTGGAATGCTTGATTTTGGTTCGTTAATTCTCATCTGATCACATGACCACACACACACACACACACACACACAGAAAATGGCTTAGCTGGGTTTTCTAATGCAAAATACTCTGTGAAACACATGTTTGCATCTTCAGCATTTTCTCTTAATGCCATTTATCAGCTTCACCTTGTTTATATGTACATAGCAACAGGCCAGTTACACGCGCACACACATTCAAAAGGAAAGGAAAGCCGACTAAAATGCATTGGACAATGCATCCATAAAACACTTTTCTCTTTTTTTGGTCTTTAAGCAACTGATTGAAATATATACATTTAGTGCTCAATAAACACAATAACTGCCATTTAGCATATTGTGAATGTCTTGGCGGATATTTATTCCCCAATTGTCAGTGGTCTATTTGGGTACGATGAGGTCAGTCGCAGGCATTGACAGCCAATCCATCCAAAAAGCTTATAGACCAATATCACAAAGTCGCCTTTGTGTAATCGGTTATCCGATTATACAGCCTAAGCTTAGCAAGATCTTTGTTTTTATTTATTTTACCCCGACCGTCTGGTGAGAGATTAGTACGTCTCACAATTATGCGTAATCTCAGAAGTCGAATATTTGTTTGTTTTTGCAGTTTGACATTTTCATCATATCTAGAAGTTGATCATATTTAATCGACCATAATATAATATCTTCAAGGCTTTTTATTTTCACAGAAATAAATAAAAACAATCTCTCGGGAACCATATCAAATTTTGATACAAAAATATAACTAGAAAAACACTCTGAAAGCGCAGGCCTCCGCCAAGGCAGCAATTATTATTATTATTGATTATTGATCCGGATCACCACCAAAAACTAATCATCTGTTCCTTGGCCCACTTCTGATAGTTCCTGAAAATTTCATCAAAATCGCTCCATAACTTTTTGAGTTATGTTGATGACAGACGGACAAACAGACAAACAGGGAGGTAATAACTTCACTATCTGCCTGAAATTGAAAGAGCGGCGCAGTCTGCATGCGTTTGTGCGGAGGGCGTGTAACTTACCTAAGATCTTAAGCTTCACTAGTACTCTGTATAGGCTTCAAGCCTTGCTTCAGTTACCCGAAATGGTTGTTTGATGACGTTTTTTTTTTTTTTTTTTTTTTTTTTTTTTTTTTTTTTTTTTTTTTTTTAAACTAAAGAAACCATCGTGAAAACAGGTGCGCGAAACCAGGCATTACAAACACTCGTTTTTTACCTTGCACTGGTCATTTGACCAGGTAAACCTCAAGAGTAAATGACTTAAAATTGTCTCACTAAGGCCCATCGTACCAGAGGATTTCTCACGTCCATCCCGAAAATCGCCAACTTTTTTGCAGCGGGCCTGTCGTTACTTTATGATGCGCTAAAACTGTGGGTGTGAAGTCGGTTAACACTTTGTCTTCGCTACCACAATGTTATCGTAAAAATTCTGTCTACAACACAACGAAATGACAACGCACAGCGCACTCAGCCGAAGTAAACCAAGGAGGGTGTTATTGGAGCTTGGAGATTTTGGACACGAAGAATCAAGGATTATGTGAGAAAATTGGTAATGACTATTTTGAACAGGTTTGGAATATACCCCATTTGGCGACATACCAACATACGTGTCGTCTTTTCGCCTGTGTCCATCTATCTATATTACATTGATCACTTTAAAAATCCCTTATCTTGATAACAGGACTGGTCGCAAATAAGTAACAGTGATATTAAACTAATATACAAACAACTGAAATGATCGCGTTAATAACTGAAATGATCGCGTAAAGTGTAAGAGATGGCTAGACTTACGATGTTGATCGAAAAATCAGATTTATACAAAAAAGAAAATATTATGTAAAGTGTTCAACTTTAAGTAGAGGGCCTGGATGCGGTAATTACTCGACCTTTTCAAAGAAGGAAATTGTGAATTTGGCGGTCACAGCATTTTGAAGTCATAATTTCTTAAAATTAATAGTCTTATTGAGCGGTAGCAACAAAATTAAAAAGCAGGATATTTGACAGTTCTATTAATGCTGTAAAAGCACCACAAATGCTATGCAGAAATATAATTTTTGTGATAAATTATAAAATCATGTATCTGAAAATTTGATAATTTTTGCCCATTGAAAAGGCCAAGTCATTAGAGCATTTCTAAAAACTTAACAACAACAACACAAATGATTTTTTTTTCATTCAGAATAACCTTTATTTTTACTTTCCTACACCACGTACAGTTTCTGGTGGATGCAGTTTTACAGGACTACATTGTTGAAGACTTATGTACAATACTGAGAAAAAAGCTTAATTTCCTTTTTTTGTAAAGATAAACAGTAAGATAATTCCAGTTGAACTGGCTGCTGATACTATTTTAACAATAACCAGAGTAAGAAAGTTCATTCTAGATTTCCCAAAAAGTGGTACATCAACTCCAAGTTTTGAAAGGTGTCAGTTTAGAGGAGGGGAGGGGGTGGGGTAACTTATAAGTTGCAACTGTTGTTCAAACCTGGATGCACATTATTTAAACAATAGTCAATTGACTGATATAAGAAGGGCTTTTTAGAACCCCTCCCCTTCTTAAGGCTTATATCTTAGACCTATAAGTGTTATATAGTTCTTTAATTGGTAATACAATACGAGAATGCATCCATGCTCACAAAACTGTGCCAGTGGACATGCAATATGCTTCCCAATGACCTCTCTTACAACTGACTAAATTTTCTGCCTTTTTTTTCATATAAATAAACCAAAAAGGACAAATTCCAAAGACACAACTTCACGACGTCATAAAGATTACTATAAAGACTGTAGAAATTTTACAAATGGTGGAAATCAAGCTGTTTCTACATATCACAATACAGTGAATGGCAGGGGGGATAATTATGGGCCAGACAGCTCGTGTTAGACTGATGTCGAGTCTGTGTTTACCCAACACTGGCTCATCTGCTGTAAAAGATGGACAGCACTGCCCTAACGCATTGAGCTATCTTGTGTGTGTGTGCGTGTGTGTGTGTGTGTGTGTGTGCGCGTGTGAGTGTGTGTGTGTGTAAAGTATCTAGTTTTCAATCACACTATTGCCATCCTGGGACTGGACAAACACTAAAAATGTCGACAACCATCTGATACTGTGTGGAAACGCATAATCAGACGACAGGAATACTCAACACTTTATATGGTGATACAATATCATTTTTGGCTAAAATATAAAATAGCTGGACAATGTACAAAACTGTTTGTTCTTTGGGTTGATTAGGCCAAAATATGGAAAATATCTAACCAGTGTCACTCTCTGCGAATAAAAAAAATTTCTACTTTCAAATCTTATTATTATATCGACTCAGCAAAAACTTTATCCACCATTTCCACAATAAACTGTAGTATTTTGTCAAAATATGCCAAAACTTCTGACTGTGACATCAAAAATAGACTTCAAACTTTCACATCTTCTTCAAGCCAAAGCACAATTCATTCAATCACTTTTGAAAACAGACTTAAGATCCAAAGAATAAAACATAAAATTGAAAATGTGGTCCGAATAACAAACTAAATGAATTGGAAAACTAGAATGAACAGAACTAAGTTAATAAAATAGAAAGAAATAAAATGGAAAACATTTAAAAACTAAACTAAACAAACATAGCACCAGTAGCCAACTTACAGACCGACAAAGCAAATGGGGCCATTCAGAATTGATGATCCAAGTACTAACCGATCTGCTGACTAAATATGGCCGACCCCACTTCAAAAGCACCAATTCCTTGAAGGTTTCCCCACCTCCACACGCTCCGTCGCAGCAGAGGCAGAGGCCTAGCAATTAAACCACTACTATGTTAAATGGCGCATGTGGAGACGGGGAGACAATCAGGGATCAGCGGCATTGCTTTTGAAGTGTGGTCAGCCATATTTAGTCAGCAGATCAGTTAGCACTCGGATCATGTATTCTGAATGACCCCAATGTCAAAACTACAAATAATATCTCATGTAAGGCAAAGGAGACCTTTTTTTAACTCTCAGAAAACAGATGGATAATAAAATGTGCCAAATCATATGTCACACATTAATGTTATAATAGTGCTTTAATACGATAGTAGCTAAGAGAGGAGAGAGAGGGTAAACGAGTTGGCATAAAATGACCTTGCCCCTTGCAATGTCTGCCATAGTTTTTATATGAGTCAACATCTGATGAATAATTTGACAAAATGCGATATTCCATTTCTTCCTCTTTGCACNTCTAACATTGATCACTTTTAAAATCCTTCATCTTGATAACGGGAAGTAACAGTGATATTCTAACTAACATACAAATTGAGAATAACTGGCAAGTTCAGATGGCGTTAAGTTTAAGCGATGACGAGGGTTCACACTTACGATATTGATCAAATGAATCAGATTCATACAAAAAAGAAAAAATATTCTGTTAAGTGTTCGACTTTAAATAGAGGGCCTGGGTTTGGTAATTACTCAACCTTTTCAATGGGGGAAAATTGTGAATTTCACGATCACTGCATTTTCCAAGTCATAATTTCTTAAAATTAATACTTTCTTATGGAGTGATAGCAACAAAATTAAGAAACGGATACTTTACAGTTCTATTCTAATGCAGTAAAAGCACCACAAATGCTACTCAGAAATATGATTTTTATGATTATAAAAAGTTTGATAATTTTTGCCCATTTAAAAATATGAGTCATTAAAGCATCTTTAAACACTTTAAAGTAAAAACAACAACACCATTTTTTTTTCATTCAGAATAACCTTTATTTTTTACTTTCCTACACCACGTACAGTTTCTGGTGGATGCAGTTTTACAGGACTACGTTGTTGAAGACTTATGTACAATACTGAGAAAAAAGCTTAATTTCCTTTTTTGTAAAGATAAACAGTAAGATAATTCCAGTTGAACTGGCTGCTGATACTATTTTAACAATAACCAGAGTAAGAAAGTTCATTCTAGATTTCCCAAAAAATGGTACATCAATCCCCAGTTTTGAAAGGTGTCAGATTAGGGGAGGGGGTGGGGGTGGGGGGGGTGGGGGTAACTTATAAGTTGCAACTGTTGTTCAAACCTGGATGCATATTATTTAAACAATAGTCAATTGACTGTTATAAGAAGGGCTTTTAAGAACCCCTCCCCTTCTTAAGGCTTATATCTTAGACCTATAAGTGTTATATAGTTCTTTAATTGGTAATACAATACGAGAATGCATCCATGCTCACAAAACTGTGCCAGTGGACATGCAGTAAGCTTCCCAATGACCTCTCTTACAACTGACTAAATTTTCTGCCTTTTTTTTCATATAAATAAACCAAAAAGGACAAATTCCAAAGACACCACTTCACGACGTCATAAAGATTACTATAAAGACTGTAGAAATTTTACAAATGGTGGAAATCAAGCTGTTTCTACATATCACAATACAGTGAATGGCAGGGGGGATAATTATGGGCCAGACAGCTCGTGTAAGACTGATGTTGAGGCTGTGTTTACCCAACACTGGCTCATCTGCTGTAAAAGATGGACAGCACTGCCCTAACGCGTTGAGCTATCGTGTGTGTGTGCGTGTGCGTGTGAGTGTGTGTGTGTGTGTAAAGTATCTAGTTTTCAATCACACTATTGCCATCCTGGGACTGGACAAACACTAAAAATGTCGACAACCATCTGATACTGTGTGGCAACGCATAATCAGACGACAGGAATACTCAACACTTTATATGGTGATACAATATCATTTTTGGCTAAAATATAAAATAGCTGGACAATGTACAAAACTGTTTGTTCTTTGGGTTGATAAGGCCAAAATATGGAAAATATCTAACCAGTGTCACTCTCTACGAATAAAAAAATTTCTACTTTCAAATCTTATTATTATATCGACTCGGCAAAAACTTTATCCACCATTTCCACAATAAACTGCAGTATTTTGTCAAAATATGCCAAAACTTCTGACTGTGACATCAAAAATAGACTTCAAACTTTCACATCTTCTTCAAACAAAAGCACTATTCATTCAATCATCTTTGAAAACAGACTTAAGATCCAAAGAATAAAACATAAAATTGAAAATGTGGTCCGAATAACAAACTAAATGAATTGGAAAACTAGAATGAACAGAACTAAGTTAATAAAATAGAAAGAAATAAAATGGAAAACATTTAAAAACTAAACTAAACAAACATAGCACCAGTAGCCAACTTACAGACCGACAAAGCAAATGGGGCCATTCAGAATTGATGATCCAAGTACTAACTGATCTGCTGACAAAATATGGCCGACCCCACTTCAAAAGCACCAATGCCTTGAAGGTTTCCCCACCTCCACACGCTCCGTCGCAGCAGAGGCAGAGGCCTAGCAATTAAACCACTACTATGTTAAATGGCGCATGTGGAGACGGGGAGACCATCAGGGATCGGCGGCATTGCTTTTGAAGTGTAGTCAGCCATATTTAGTCAGCAGATCAGTTAGTACTCGGATCATGTAATCTGAATGACCCCAATGTCAAAACTACAAATAATATCTCATGTAAGGCAAAGGAGACCTTTTTTTAACTCTCAGAAAACAGATGGATAATAAAATGTGCCAAATCAAATGTCACACATTAATGTTATAATAGTGCTTTAATACGATAGTAGCTAAGAGAGGAGAGAGAGGGTAAACGAGTTGGCATAAAATGACCTTGCCCCTTGCAATGTCTGCCATAGTTTTTATATGAGTCAACATCTGATGAATAATTTGACATTCCATGAATAATGCGATATTCCATTTCTTCCTCTTTGCGCTACATATTTTTAATTCTTCCTGTTTGAACTACTACAGACTTTGCAAGTGACACTGTTAACCTTAAAGCAAAACAGTCCTTATAAATCTTTATCAGGAAAATTATTTGAAAAGATGTTTTAATTCACAAAACAGTGACTTTCCAGTAGTGCGCTGATAGTTTGATAAAAGTTATTGATTGTATCGGAGTACCATTTCTCTACTCCTGCTCCCCCTCTGGCTGAGACAAATGGCATAGACCATTCACATAAAGCACACATCCTGAGAAAGTTCATTTTCAGCAAAAATGGGGGTACAGATAACACCACCTTTGCAGTTCAGATAATGGACTTCATCAGATGTGTGCAGCATAAATTCTTTTACAATATTAAAGTATGTAAAATATAAATGATTACTGTGCTTATATATAATTTTTTTTCATATAACAATTTTTATGTCTATGTACAACATGTACAAAGTAGTAAAATATGATTCTGCCTGAGCTCAAACTAAGCCATGCCACAAACTACAGATGTAGAACCTCGTCATTAATTTCACTCAAAATACAACTACCAGGGCAGCTTCTCAGTATTCCCTCCCATTGCATCCTCTACCTGCTGCTTGGCAACTGGCTTACATAAACATATGTGCCCTTGAAATGCATTAACATAATTTATCCAGCTTCATGTTGTGGAGCCTCTCCACTCAGCCCAGGTACACCTCGCAGGTGAAGTCTGACTCTCCAATGAGTCAACATCTATTCTATCCTCCTCCACTATTTTTTTTCTTCCTTTATATATTTAACAAAAATAGCAGCATTCTTTGAAATTTATGGCCTGGGTCAAAAAGAATCCACAGTTAAAGAAATATGATAATGTTGTACATGGCCTTGTATGCTATCATACTTTCACAAAATGGCACTGTATTCATAACCCCCATTTAACAGCAGAACAATGACTCTGAACGCATATCATGATTACAAAAACACTTTGAAGTCATATTTCCTGCCCTGAGAAAACTTTTTGGAACCAACAGAACTTTCAAGTGGCCAAACTAGAATCTAAAAGATCTGTGAAAAGCCCTGCAGGCCATGCATCCAACCAATCATATCACAGAAACCAGTCCAATGGATTGGGACGCCAAAATCAGAAAGGTGAAAAAAAAGTTGTAATTATTTAAAATTTAAAATTCTTTCCATTGTGATTTAATAAAATAACACTAAAAGTTGGGAACATCCATCTTTTCTTTTTTAATACTACATTTAGTGAGTCCTTTTTTATCTCAGTATATTAAAACACAACCAATATGCTAAGATAAATGGGCCATGTTTCAAAATGGCTGCTCCCAGAAGAAAATTTAAAATGGCCACTCTCCTCAAACAGCCGAGATAAAGACAGGCGTCTTTCTATACTTTCATGCAGCTTACGACAAACATCATTTGGCCAACTTAGTAAAAACATGTACAAGAAAGATAGAACAATTTCATTTTGATAAAAGAAATCTGAAATCACCTTGGAGTTCCACCCACATAAAACCTACTACCAATTTAACTTTCTAAAATCAGGCACTTGACAACATTCAACTCCAAGGCACAAATGTCGATCACTTTGCTGGACCAAGCATTGGCGATCTGTTACAAATTCACATATATGTATATGTAACAGAGTGATATATAACTATAATAGATGCTAGCTGGCCTCAGTTAGGCTAAATGCAAGGAAACACAAGGTTTCATCTTGGCGCACTGGAACTGCTGAAAATTCAAGTCACAACTGATATCTTGTAACAAATATTGCTCCAGATGTCTTCTCTCAGCTTTTTCTAATAATCTTAGTAACAAGTTCAACCAAGTTTTCTCAGTGCTTAATCAATGAAGTTACAGGCGTAACTATGTTACCCTAGTCTTTTGTTCAGTAATGTTACCACAGACACCAAGCCAAGAATCACCATTGTATCATGTCCAGTTTTTACTTTCATGTTCCTTCCAGTGAATCAATCATCATCCTTGTCCTTCTGGGGGGTGATGTCACATGCTCGAAACAGCTCCTCTGGCGTGTATCCCAGCAAGCTTTGCAGGTCACAAACAAATCGGTACACATAACGTTTACCAGCAGTCTTATGAATGATATTCTTATCGTAATAGTATCGCAGGCCTCGGCTCAGCTTCTCATAGTTCATTTTTGGTTTGTTCTTCCTCAGGCCCCAACGGCGAGCCACCTCGTCAGGATCGGACAGTTTAAACTCCCAGCCGTCCCCGGACCAACTGATGAAGTGTTGGCAGGACTTGTCTGTGAGGAGTTCTAGGAGGAACTGCCACAGCTGGATGGGTCCACTCCCTGGAAGAATACACCACATACATTATTACCACAATAATTATATTAAGATAGATTTAACATANTGTATCATGTCCAGTTTTTACTTTCATGTTCCTTCCAGTGAATCAATCATCATCCTTGTCCTTCTGGGGGGTGATGTCACATGCTCGAAACAGCTCCTCTGGCGTGTATCCCAGCAAGCTTTGCAGGTCACAAACAAATCGGTACACATAACGTTTACCAGCAGTCTTATGAATGATATTCTTATCGTAATAGTATCGCAGGCCTCGGCTCAGCTTCTCATAGTTCATTTTTGGTTTGTTCTTCCTCAGGCCCCAACGGCGAGCCACCTCGTCAGGATCGGACAGTTTAAACTCCCAGCCGTCCCCGGACCAACTTATGAAGTGTTGGCAGGACTTGTCTGTGAGGAGTTCTAGGAGGAACTGCCACAGCTGGATGGGTCCACTCCCTGGAAGAATACACCACATACATTATTACCACAATAATTATATTAAGATAGATTTAACATAATGTTTAATCACTTTCAACACCACAAAGATTATTACCACAATTATTATATCAAGATAGATTAAACAGGCACGTAGCCAGCAATTTCAAAAGGGGGGTTCTTTTTCTGAAAAAGTGGACCTTTTCCCATAAAAACTACATGTACCTAGATCAAATTTTACCCAGAGTGGATCTTTTCCCAGCAAAAGGGGCGGTTCTTTTGAACCTCCCAGAACCCCCCCCCCCCCTTGCTACAGGCCTGTTAAACATAGTGTTTAATCACTTTCAACACCACATAGATTATTACCACAATAATAAAATAATTAAGAAAGATGCAACAGAGTGCTTAAATAATTTTCAATATAATTGTAATTATTACATTCCAAAATGAAATTCTCATGACTAGATGGGGTTAATTCCTGTTAGGTAAGGAAATCATACACTGTAATTCATATTAAATTAATCTAATGGCATTATTAAAAATGAAGTATTTTTTTCAATGTTGGAATGGTAATTTTTTCCTATAACTTTTGTCACTGAAGTACTGCGATAAAAATGAACAACCACTTTGAAAGTAACTCCTCCACACATTGTTAAAAAAAAAACTGTCCCCTTTTTTATCATTTCATACAATGCAAAAAAGGTTTCAAGTGGAATAAGTTTCACATTTCTAACATCTCAGTACAATCAAACACTGCACAAATTCCACATGACTGGCTGACACCACCACAGTGACATACTTGTGGTCAGTTATATCAGGGTGGGGTGGTACTTTGGTCACAATGACTAGCTAACATTAAGTACACATTTAAGTACCAAGTTTGACAAAACTTAAATGATAATTTTAGAAACTGATCTTCAACTCAATCCCCCCCCCCCCCAAAAAAAAAACAAAAAAAAACTTGATAACCTTGGATAACACACTAGCATTTTCTCCCAGAGAGAGAGAGAGAGAGAGAGAGAGAGAGAGAGAGAGAGAGAGAGAGAGAGAGAGAGAGATTGTGACATCCTCCTCCGTTTTTTGGCCAAGCTTAATTCTATTGTGTTGAAGACCAGAGTCATGCCAAAAAATGAAAATTATCTTAATTGTTAATAAGGCCTCCCGCTGACGCTTAGCTATTAGCTGTCTCCCCTTCACAACTTGGCAGACATGTTTTCTCAAGTACCTGTTTCCTGCACACATGTGACTGGGTTGAAATGAGGGGCAGGAGGAACAGGCGCTTCCAAGATCGGGTGTGATTAATTTGCACATTCCACTGTAGCTACCTTTTTCCTTTCCAAATGATAAAGCAAATTCTGAACTAAACAGATACAAAAGCCAACTGTCCTAATTGTAAGAATCAACAGAATGAAGCCTTAAATATTTTTTTCTATCTCCTCTCTTATCTATTCCATTCATTCACCGCTATTTTTGAATCAGTGACCTTAAATATAACTTAAAGAAAAGGGAAACAGAACAAGTTTTTTATATATGAAAGCTAAAATCTGGAGAGATCACAAAAGACAGAAAAGTCAGATACAAAACACTGCCTTAACTAGATGCCAATAAGGATGTAACAAATAAGCAGTAAAAAAACTTCCCAGCTGGCATTTTTTTGTGCTCACAAAAAATAACTTTGGACAAACGTCAAAAGAAATCTACAGCAAAGTGTTCCTTATATTTCTGCCAAGTTACTGCTAGACAGAATAATATTAACAAAATGTGTCTGAACATGACAAAAGTCATGCAGAGTGCTGTAAAAAAAAATCATAAATCCTGTAGCTCTTACAAAAACGAAAATACGATGATCAAAACTTAACACATATTCCCTGTTTGGATAAAAAAGTGTCAACTGGAATTCCCTTCCTTCCACACCTAAAACGAACCCGAAGGTGCTAATCCTAACCACCTGCTTAATGTATTATGGAAAGAAAATTAAACTCTGCACATCAAACCACCTAGTCAACTATATCAATATGTCTCCCATTTCAGCCATCTTCTGTTTTGTCACACACTTCCAAAGAATCCACCTTTCGGCTGACATTTTCAATAAAAGCAAATCCCCATTTTAAGATCAGCCATCATTTTCTTAAAAACTCACCAGAGTATCCAGCAAGCGCGGCTGCCTGGATGACTGGCTTGGACTCTCCAGGACGTTCATGGACAGCATGAAGATGGCGGAAACCACCTCCGCTCATACTCAGCCGCAAGTCATTGCTTGACCAACTGTCTGCAAGCTGATCCTGATTGGTCCAGCACTCTGGGACTGTCTGAAATGGCGGCTCACGATGGTCATAGTACTCGGGTGTGTAGGGTTCACGCTTGAAGACGCGCTCAAAGGGATGGGGTGGCTCGGCTTGGCGCTGGTCAAGGTACTTGGCTAAAATAAGTAAAAAAATAAACAAGTTGTATGAAAAATATATTCCTGCAAAACTCTGCAATTTGTCCAAATGATAAAACAGAAACTGAATGTTTATAAGAATTTAATTCTGACAGAGTTGGAATTTTTGAGAAAATGGTTCACACTGCTGTCAAAATCTCCTCAATTATGTTTAATTCCACCAAAACTAAAAAATGCTTCCTACAAAGAATTTCTCCAATATATTCATCACTACTGTCTCTGATAAAATGTGATCAAGTTTGTGTAATAAAAAGCTGAATCAGAAAGTCGGAATCCCAGGGAGCACATTTCAATAAGCCAAAACAAGATATGGGTAAAAAAATAATATTTCAACGTCCTTCTTACCATCAGTTAAAAAGTTTAAAAAAATATACTTCACAATGTTGTGAGATGTAAGTTACATTTACCTCACTCGAATCCATTGTCCTGTCATACAAAATCCATAAGAAATACCAGAACAAGCTGTCTTCCTTCGATGNGTTTGACAAAACTTTAATGATAATTTTAGAAACTGATCTTCAACTCAAACCCCCCCCCCCCCCCCAAAAAAAAAGAAAACTTGATAACCTTGGATAACACACTAGCATTTTCTCCCAGAGAGAGAGAGAGAGAGAGAGAGAGAGAGAGAGAGATTGTGACATCCTCCTTCGTTTTTTGGCCAAGCTTAATTCTATTATGTTGAAGACCAGAGTCATGCCAAAAAATGAAAATTATCTTAATTGTAAATAAGGCCTCCCGCTGACGCTCAACTATTAGCTGTCTCCCCTTCACAACTTGGCAGACATGTTTTCTCAAGTACCTGTTTCCTGCACACATGTGACTGGGTTGAAATGAGGGGCAGGAGGAACAGGCGCTTCCAAGATCTGCTGTGATTAATTTGCACATTCCACTGTAGCTACCTTTTTCCTTTCCAAATGATTAAGCAAACTCTAAACTAAACAGATACAAAAGCCAACTGCCCTGATTGTAAGAATCAACAGAATGAAGCCTTAAATATTTTTTGTCCTATCTCCTATCTTATCTATTCCATTCATTCACCGCTATTTTTGAATCAGTGACCTTATATATAACTTAAAGAAAAGGGGAACAGAACAAGTTTTTTATATATAAAAGTCAAAATCTGGACAGATCACAAAAGACAGAAAAGTCAGGTACAAAACACTGCCTTAAGTAGATGCCAATAAGGATGTAACAAATAAGCAGTAAAAAACTTCCCAGCTGGCAATTTTTTGTGCTCACAAAAATAACTTTGGACAAACATCAAAAGAAACCTACAGCAAAGTGTTCCTTATATTTCTGCCAAGATACTGCTAGACAAATAATATATACAAAATGCGTCTGAACATGACAAAAGTCATGCAGAGTGCTGAAATCTGTAAAAAAAAAAAAAATTAAAAAATCCTGTAGCTCTTACAAAAACGAAAATACGATGATCAAAACTTAACACATATTCCCTGTTGGGATAAAAAAGTGTCAACTGGAATTCCCTTCCTTCCACACCTAAAACGAACCTGAAGGTGCTAATCATAACCACCTGCTTAATGTATTATGGAAAGAAAATTAAACTCTGCACATCAAACCACCTAGTCAACTATATCAATATGTCTCCCATTTCAGCCATCTTCTGTTTTGTCACACACTTCCAAAGAATCCACCTTTCGGCTGACATTTTCAATAAAAGCAAATCCCCATTTTAAGATCAGCCATCGTTTTCTTAAAAACTCACCAGAGTATCCAGCAAGCGCGGCTGCCTGGATGACTGGCTTGGACTCTCCAGGACGTTCATGGACAGCATGAAGATGGCGGAAACCACCTCCGCTCATACTCAGCCGCAAGTCATTGCTTGACCAACTGTCTGCAAGCTGATCTTGATTGGTCCAGCACTCTGGGACTGTCTGAAATGGTGGCTCACGATGGTCATAGTACTCGGGTGTGTAGGGTTCACGCTTGAAGACGCGCTCAAAGGGATGGGGTGGCTCGGCTTGGCGCTGGTCAAGGTACTTGGCTAAAATAAGTAAAAAAATAAACAAGTTGTATGAAAAATATATTCCTGCAAAACTCTGCAATTTTTCCAAATGATAAAACAGAAACTGAATGTTTATAAGAATTTAATTCTGACAGAGTTGGAATTTTTGAGAAAATGGTTCACACTGCTGTCAAAATCTCCTCAATTATGTTTAATTCCACCAAAACTAAAAAATGCTTCCTACAAAGAATTTCTCCAATATATTCATCACTACTGTCTCTGATAAAATGTGATCAAGTTTGTGTAATAAAAAGCTGAATCAGAAAGTCGGAATCCCAGGGAGCACATTTCAATAAGCCAAAACAAGATATGGGTAAAAAAATAATATTTCAACGTCCTTCTTACCATCAGTTAAAAAGTTTAAAAAAATATACTTCACAATGTTGTGAGATGTAAGTTACATTTACCTCACTCGAATCCATTGTCCTGTCATAAAAAAAATCCATAAGAAATACCAGAACAAGCTGTCTTCCTTCGACGTTAAGTATTATATATACATGTAATTCTACTCCATAACAACTGTTCTGATGATATTCCTAGTTTCTTGTGTGAACTTTACTAGGTGCCTCTTCCTTTATATAAAACTTAACCAGAACCATTAAACCGTTTTGGGGCCCAGTGGCCCAGAAACAAGAGTTTTCGAAAGAGAAAGATTTAAGAGAGAACAAGAAAGATATTGTACCGTACCTCTACAATCTAATGGTGGCCTGTACTTCTGCTCAGGAATGTTGGGGTAGAACTCGTGCTCGTAGTAGTTGTTTGCATGTGCAGCAGCATGCGTTGGGTCGTGCAGGCGATGGTAGTCTGCGTCCTCTCCGTATCCTGGTGGTATGAGCTGTTCTCCACTCATCTGATTCAGTGTGTGCATGGATTCAGAGATGGGATAAGCTCCTGGGAAGAACATAATGATAAGCGGTTACGCGGGCGGACGTGATTCGTCACAACAACAACCGTGAACAAATGTTACCTCGATGATTATTATTGCCTCGTAATTTTCTACAGATGTTACCGCCACTTCAAATTGTACGACTTCCCGGCACTATCTCTTTAGTTGTTGAGATTGTGACCCGCGGGAGGATGTATTGAGGATGCTCCTTATCTGCTTGCTAACAACGACTTCCACGGCTTCGTGCAGAGGTGCTAAGGGCTTACAGTTAATGCCCCAAATGCAAGGACTTGACAATTTGTTCCGTTTCTCCTAAATGCGATCCAAATTCACATCCTGTGCTCATATATATCACGATTAGCGCACCATATATGGTGAGAGGCCCGGCAGCGCTCAACCGAGCCCTCGATTAAAAACACATGCGCTTGCTGTTTAACTGACTTGTTTATGCCTCGCGAATAGAGTACGAACCAAAGTGCCTGTGAGAAGCTTTTCCGTTCCACACTCAAAATCTCAGCTGAATACCCAGCAGTAAGGTGTACCACAAAACAACTAGTAGCTCTAACAAGATGCAGAATTTCACTGGGCATCTATCTTCATAACCCCTCGACTTATTGCCAACTACCAAACAAGACTAAACTTCTCAAAAATTACTCCATACCAAAGATTCTGTCAAATTAGACTCATCTTCCACAGTTAAGTCATTGTTCTCCCCCTACCACCTCGACCATGGTGCCATCCTGTGATAGCAGCAGATCATGACGGAGACTTCCTCCCGATGGCAGACATCTTGAAAGTGATGGATCACTAAAGGCAATGGTTAGGCAAGGTATTTGATTTGTTAATTGAAAATGTATGCTTTCTGACTCGGGAGGGGAGGGGGGGTGTGGGATTTACCAGATCTGAAGGAAATGGTCAATGATGTCTGAAATATCTGTTAATCTCTCTTTCCCTCATTTTTATTTATTTGCTGAAGATCAATAGGAAGAATTATTTTTCCAACTCTGAAAATTGTCAAATATACAATTAGTTATATAGTTATATTTTAAAATTCTAATTCAAACCTTAAATATGTGAATCTTATAATGACATTCAGAAAAGACATTGACCAGCATGTAGTTCATCTCACTAAAATAAAACAAGTTCACATCTGTCCCACGCGCAAAAAAACCTGCTGATTGGCTCAGTAAGGGTTGATTATCCAATTGCAACAGGTCTTCCGTTTCCACAAACCAATCATGGAGGTGGTTACTAACAGGTGAATTACACAGAGGAAACTAGCTCCACTTGAGCTGGAAGTCAGACACATGAACTTCAACCTATTTCAATGACCATAAAACCTGTGTTTAATGAGCATCAAACCAGACTTATTGTATGTTTCCATCTCTTTACTGATTTTTTAAAGAACTTAAATAGACTTATGGAGAAAATAAGCAGTAAACTGCAGTCTTTTATTAAAGGTTTTGTCGGGGGGGGGGGGGGGGGGGAATATTGAACAATCACTGGTACAGTTCTATTCATGAAACCCTATACCATTCCTTATCACCATGCTAAGTGAGTTCATAACTTATAATATTTAACCTAGACAGCATAAATATTTTACACCCAAGAACTGTACAATTAAGTAGTTTTCCCAGTTTATTCTTCTTCTTATTATTATCATTATTTTGGTTTGAAAAAATATTTGGAAAAATTTTCCTTTTTTTCCTCAAGGAATTGGGCATTTGAAGAGCAATCATGGTTTTCCCCAGAGGAAAATAACCAAGTTGCTTTAAAAATTTGTTAAGTTAACTGTTTATACAACAAAATTATCCCCTTCTTCTTCCTTTTTATTTCTAATTCAACAAGTGCTGTGCTTTGTTGCTTCACTCACTTTAATTTCACTACATTCAGAATTTAAAACATGTTTCCAGTTATACAAAATAACTATAATTCCAACTCATCCTATCTAATGCCTAAATGAAAAGAGCGCGATCTGAAAGCTACACTGGTAAAAAAAGAAAGGCATTTGCACTACACATAATAACATCCAAACTCACCACAGGCTTCATAGTTCAAAACGAGTGCCATCAGATAAGGAGAAGGTTAGCAAGGTATTTGCCTTTCCACAGGAGTGTCAACCGTGCTCTGGTTGAGCTGAAGTACTGGTTAACCAAACAAGAGACCCCTTTTATAGCAGTTTTCAACATTTGAATTTTCCCTGAAAATTCCCTGCTAATCATGTATTTCAGTGCAAATTGAAGGTGAGAACGGGTTTAATTTTCCTTCTAATAGTTGTTAATTGAAAAGCAGATTTACATCATCATCTTCTGGTGAAAATCCTCACTTTTCCTTTCACACCTCAATTTCAGCATACATCCCTCTTACCAGAAACTTTGGAAAAAGTGTCAAGTTCTTTTTCAGAGAATTTTTTTTTTTTTTTTGCACTAATGGTATTAATTAGTAATAAATGCAAATAAAAACTGCAGGATGGGTAATTACCACAGCTATCATTCAGGTTATTGGAAAGTTGGCAAAAAAATTTTCCAAGAACTACTATCAGAAATTTCCTCTTGCTATCTTTAGTCCTGGGTCAAAAAATTCTTACTTATGATTTTCAGGAACATTTACCAAATTTTACATGCATTTCTCTCATATCATGGCATCACATTTTACGTCTAGAACAACGATTACTCTCTAACGAATACTAGCATAAATATGACCTGCATTCTAGGGGTTATTGCCATGTTCTGCAGGTGCATCCCCCTGTGGCGCTATCACAGGAAAACGTTCATTACGCTAGAGCAGAAACAAGGCACTTTGCGATAGGTCATAACCTGCGTCTATAAATTACTCCTAAACTGACACAGTTTTCTAGTATGATGGTCTGCAAAAAGGGAAAACGGGGCACTAGGATGCCAGACTGCAGACGAAAGTTCAGCCTCGCCAAAACAAAACTTCTTTTGATCTGCTTCAAAGATACCTTTTATCTCTTGACACTGTCAAGTTAAGAAGTGATGTGCTGATTTTTTTTTAGGTCCCAAAATCTTTTCATCGCTGTGTGAGTGCATGTGCACATGAAACTTTGTGTTTATGAATGTACATAATTTCTCTGCCTTATATAAAGTGCTATTTATAGATTGATTATTCAACTTTTTTGTCTGCCTGCCAGTCCTTTTTCTTGATCAGTATTGAAAAAGATACCTCAGTCCTTCATTCATTTTTAATGTTCTTATCTATTTCTTTTGAACTTGTTCTTTTCCATATTTTTTTTCATTCATGAAGTTAAGGCAAAATTCAAATAGTTTACAATACTGCCCAAAGTGGTCTTTCTTTGTGAACATTCAATACTATAATTATTATAGACAATTTCGAACAGCATTAAGTGATCTAAATATTTAAACCAAGAAATCACTTTAATCAGGAAATTCACTCAAGACTCAGACATCCTTATGATGCATTTTAATGACAAATGTTCTCTGTTGTCATCGATTTTTGTTTATCATACACACCTCCAAATCCTGAGCCAGAAGTGGGAGGGGGAGGGGGCGCTGTGGTCGCTGCTGGTGAAGGTTGTTGTTGTTGTTGTTGTTGCTGTATTGGTTGCTGTCCCTGTTGTTGTGGCTGTTGCTGTGCTGGCTCTCGTGCTGTTGAATAAATTGAATTGTAAATAAACAACTTCTAGGTGATCACCAATAAAAAAAACTTCAATAGCAATTGCTTTCTGTGTAATTTGTGTACTTTAAAATCTAAGACAATTCTTAAAGAAAAAGTATTCTTTCAAAAAGAAAACCTATTTCAGTTTTGCAAAAAAAATATATATATATCAGATTTGGCACAAAAACATCTGTCAGAAAACTTTCAGTAGACTGTATAAAATAGATAGCTTAATTTATGCTTAACTCTCATTGTGTGTCTGTGTATTAGTCATTTTCAGTGTTGGCACACAACTCAGAAAACATGACTTTCTACTTAAAAGCAAAAGTATACATAGGGCTTATGCAACTTAGTGCTTAACTCAAGAAAACATGATATTTTTTTGTGGAATTCTAGAAAGATCCAACTAACAAAACAAATTTTCTAAAAAAAAAAAATTGCATAACTTTAGAACACAAAATCATAAATTTCAACTTCATCTTCTCAGAAAATTTTAAGTATGTTGTTAACTGCAAAGATTTTTTCACATTTACAATCTGATGCAAACAGTCGAGTTCTTAGAGTAACTATTTGGGAAATAACATTTAATACTTGAAGAACTTTAAAAAAAGAAAAAGTGCAGGCCAAACAATGAACCCAAATTCAAGTCATGCCAATCAAATTTAAGTAAAAATTGAGTCTCTCTCATAATAGAGATGGAAACTGATGAATTATTGTCTCAACAGGTTAGAACACTCAACAGAAGTCTAAATAATCAAAACTGTTACACAGATTGCACTTAAACAAATAGTTATGAACTAAATGTCAAAGAAAATTCTAAATTTCATCACTTTTATCCTCCCCCCATCCCCCCCCGTTTTTTTTTTTTTTGCTAAAAAATGTCTGAAGCACACTGAATGCCAATAAGTTCAAAGATGACAATTTATCGATACCAATTTTAAATAAGCAGGCTTTCCCTCGGTAAGATTGGTTGAGAAAGTGCTAAAACATGAATAACTGTAAATGACTGTGCTAATTATGGAATAACTGTTAACGAAAGCGCTAATCACAAAATTACTGTTAACGGAATTCAACTCATTAACACATGTACAGAGCTGGTTTAAGGCTTTTTGCTGCCAGCACCTGCCAGTTTAAAAGTTACCTAAGTTCATGAACCCATCCTCAAATACGGACTGACTGAAGTTCTCAGGTACATTGCCCAGTGCTGCCCTCTGTTGTTCAACTTCTAAAACATGAAAATATGGGAGAAATTTAGTTCTTTTTACAAAAAGAATGGGCTGTAGGATTCAGTCCCTCTGTTGAATGCAAATGTGATGACAATTCATAGCATGACCAGTATTTACATCTCAAAAACTTCACAACTCATTTAAATTTGTGTTAAATTTGTGTTAAATTTCATATCTATTCCATGTATTACTGACATGTTTTTATTTAATTCCTACATTATCTTAAACACTTCCAAGCTTTGACAATATAAATTTTCTATATAAATAAAAGATAATTGAAAAAAAAAATGTTTGTTCGTTGAATTGTCATTACTTTATATTCATATATTTAAATAATTTTTAGGACAATTTTTCTTTTTTTTTCTTCTAACCTATACCTTTCTGCATGATCTCCAGATGTTCCCAAAGAATTTCTCCCACAAATGGAGGACACAGAGCCAAGAAATCATCCTTTGGCAGGTCGCAAAGTGTGGAGCCCACCATATTGGCAAAGTTCTGTACTTGCACGCCCTCTAGGTTGAACTCTCGGATTGCCCACTGGAGCCACTGGTAGATGTTGATCTCCGACCACTGCTGGGGGTCTGAATGAAGGAAGGAAGGAAGGAATGAATCAACTCAACTTGATCAAATAAAGCTCCAGGGCCTAAATATTACATGGATGAAATAAAACAAGGTTTTAAAAGGCAGAAACGATGCCCCAAAATCAATTCCCACAAATCCATCAATGTAAAATTTTTGTGCTTACTTAGTATCAGTGGGAGATCAATATACCCTTTCATTTTTTGAATAGATGTAGGGGACAATATCATTCCACAAATTTTTAATTATTTCATTAGACCACAACAGTTATATCATCAATATTATTATTGATTTAAACAGCCAGCAGAGTCACACATGCCAACTCACTCATGTATGTCAACATGCATCCCAACTTTGTTGCTTTGACTGCCCCCTATTGTTCAGACTAATCACTAAGCTAATTTTTCACCACATGGATGGTAACCTGATGTAACTGCCCCCTTTTGGCAGTACTAACAACTAGTAGCTCTTGAGCCACCTTTTGACATCTTAATCCCTGTCAATCAGTGTCAAGATGGTCATATATTAATTGGATTAAAAGAAACAAAAAGTTGAACCCTTGGACAGGAAGTCACAATTCTCTGGTTAATTTAACACTGCAGGCGGTACATAAACTTTATGCTGTTGCAAGTAGAGATATGAATTTGGAGAATTTTTCTAAAAAAGTTTTATAAGACTTCTGCCAGAAGTTACATTTCACTGGACACCTTTAAAATAAGTGTTATGGTGTTCATTTAACATAATGGTAACCAAGAGCCAGGGCCTAATACTTCTCATGAAACCCTTAAACGTGCAGCGTTAATTTCAAAACTTAAGAAGAAATTTATCATGTTATCACTATACGGGTAGATGAAAAGTGAAGTAATTAGAAAACAGTCCCAACCATCAGTAAACATTGCTGTTCATAATTTTCAGAGGTGTGAGCAAACAAAGAGATGCCAAGCAGAAGTGAGCAAGTACTCTTTTTCATTTCTGAGCAGACATGAAAAGGAATATAACTTGATGAAAAATTATTTTTTAAAGGAAAAACATTCAATGTTGCAATGTTAAGATCTAACATATTGCACTCCTTTCATGAAGTTATTAAAAAAGTCTGGAAGTATTTCAATAAATAGAAGAGCCCTTTGAAAAGCAACAAGAGACTTATACCACAAAAACACTATCTAACTGTGGGTCAAACTTAATTGTATAGAAACAAACAAGCAAAAAATCAAATGTCAAAAAATATAATACTTCACCAGCTTACCAACTATTTGGTATAGGCCTTACCCTAGGTGCTACTAAATTCTCCAAAAATTTTTTCATATATATTTTACAGAATTCTTGCTGGAAAAGCCTTTGATTTTATTGACCAAGGAGAAGTCTTGTCAAAGCCAGACCTGGACTGTAGACAGAACAACTGCGAGATTAGATTAACAATCTTTTTGCAGCCCAATTTCTATCCCTAGATATGGCAGCTTCAAACAGATCTCTCCACTGAAATTTAATAGCGGCTTTTACAAATTCAATTGAGAAAACCCAACACAAAACTGCTTCAAATAAATCAGCTGAGCAACCTTGCTATGTGTGACTTGAATCAAAAGTACTATTATTTTCTTTCGTGATAGATTTCTGAGAAGCAAAAAATTGTCATTAAAAAATTGCATATAACTACACTTAACAAAATTTTAGAAGTAAACTCACTGCCAATAACTGCACACAATCAATTAACCCCCCCTTAATGCTGGACGATATCCACTCTGTGCTCTTTGTGCAAACCATGAAACTGGCATTGATGTGGTCATAGAAAGGAGGCACACGCAGAATGAATGCTCAAAGATCGGCCAGCTGTCGGTATGTAAATCATTAATTTTTTTTCACTCTCAAAAGGGGCTAATCAAAAATGGCCAACCCACTTGAACGCTTATTGTATTTTCAATGTGGGGAATCTATTCAGTGTCTAATCGGGAATTAAGCAGTAAGTTTTTGATAGGGTCGCCATATTTGATCTGCAAATCTGCAAGTCCGCTGTTCTGAATTTGCTTTTAGAACACACTTATTACACACAAGCACATTCCCTGAACACTGGTAGATGGTATGTTTAGAGCTCATCAAGCCATGGTCAGTTTCACTGCCCATGAGTCAAAGATGACACACTTCACTGAACCACAGCCCATACATCCCTGGTCATTACCATTGGTCACTGACACCACAGCCCCTTTTTGTGGTCAGACTGGTCAAAACAACGTGGACAATCGGACATAAAAACAAACTTCCCTCTCTTTGCCCCAATTCTTCCCCCGTGTATATTAATGGGTAATCTGCAGAGTTCCTCCCTAAAAAGAAAACTTTGAACACTTGTTGACTCCAAATGAAATAAAATCGGGTCATTTTTAAGTCAGTATGTTACCTTATTGAAAGGTTGGGGGCATTCTAAGGCTGTATTCCCACAGCTTTTAGATCGATCTATCTCCGCGGGGAGTCTTACTAGATAAGTGTCAGATAATCTGGCTTAAATATCCGTCCCGCCTACTACAAGCTGTAAGGGGGTAATTAACTTTCGTGCCCGCTCGGCTGACAGCTATTTAGCGTGAGCCCCCAGGAAGTTAGGTCAATCTAAAGTAGATCGATCTTATCTCTGGAAATGGGGTCTAAGTCTCTGTGTGTCACTGTTCTATGTGACATAGGGACCACTTCTGATGTTGTTTCAATGACATCTGAAAGCTGGGCTGATGGGACATCTTGTCATGGTTGTTTTGACTCTATTCATTGAAAAACTGAAACCTGAGGCCTTAGATGTTTTACATATAATTCTACATCTCCAACAATCTCTTCATCTTATTTGGACATGATACTCAATTGAAAGGAATCTCGCCAATAACACACTAACCACACATATACCGCAGACAGCAGTATTAAAACAAACAGTTTGAGATAAGATCTCACAGAAAACAATCCTGGACTTTTTACTGTTCTAAACTACTGTTTAACAGTGGCAGTGATTGACATTTAATCTTGGACAATGGTGATTGGTCATCTCGCCATTTACGTCAAACAGAAGACAAGGAGGGTCCCACCTAACTGGACATCTTAGACAAATATTTAAACTTATGACAAATTTCCTTCTTCCATATTTTATGTGTGAGATCATATACATACATTAAAAAGTAAGTCACAAGAGCATGTGATTTGCAAAAAAAACAAAACCATGATTTTCTAAAACGAGTTGACACTGGTTTTAAGTTAAATAAAGATGACTTTTTGCCAACACAGGTATAAGTGTATGATTCAGAGAGCTTTAAAAAGAACTTGACTTGTCCTCATGAGATCACAGGTCATGCCCTATTTATTGTTATAACAACAATGAGATTTTTTAATCTAATAAAATCGCCCTTTTTTCTTTCACCATCTTTAATGGACAAATATCAAGATTCATGTTTAAAAAAACTATGAATGCTTAATGAATGAACCATTTACTGTGTGCAACTACCCACACACACACGTAGTATTCTTGTCTGTATCAATGATATTTGCCCTCTTTTCACCTATTTTTTCTTTCTTTCTCTCTCAAACATACAAACAAACACCCAATCACACACATGAACAGTGTTCACATCTGATATTGCTCTCTCTCTCTCTCTCGTGTGGAAATATGGGCACACACACAGCCACGCCCCCTACCTTTGGTGATCCTCAGCCTCTGCTGCTCCCTCTCAAAGGTCTTAAAGCTCTCCAGCAGCGCTTGGGACATCTTCTGGTTAGTCCCTGGGGTCAGAGGAGGAACCTGGGGGGTTGGCATATCTGGAAATAAATAGAATTCATCATTATATAGCATATTTATATATATACTACTATACCCACAGGAAGGGAAAAATTACCTGTAACTGCTTTTTTTTTTCAAAAATAGAGGTAAACATCTAAATAACAAATGCATATCTGAAAAATGACAAATGGATAGGTAAAAAATTGAGCAAATGCCAGAAGTTCCATGGTGAGAACAATCACTTAATTAACATGCTAAGGGGTAAAACCTCAAACAGCTGATACAAATTTTCATTGTACTTGTACAAAAACTAGAAAAAAAAACATTTATTTGCAAACTTAAAACACAAACTTTTTGGCCTGCTTTTCTATACACACTGTTCTCCCTTAAGCTTTTCTTTGACAATCAGACTAAAGGAAAAAATCAAACCAGAGAGCACCAGGTGCCTCTGAAAGCTGTCCAAGAAAACCCCTTTCCTACATCAACCAAACATGAGTGAAAGTCCTGAAAAAAAACTCACAATTTCCCACTGCATTAATGATTTACACTAAATGGAAACAATAACAGGCAAAATAAAGATTGAAAATCCTGAAATCAGGCATTATCCTGAAAACTAACCCATGCACAAACTACAAGTACTGCTACCTCAATCAAGTCTACTTGCATACACAGATGTTAGCTCGGTCCTGTCTCGACAAAATTCTGATGTTCTGCTTGGATATGATCTGGTTTATAGTTCGTTATCATGTGATAATAAATTAACACATCAAGTTTTCCTTTTCAACTTAAGGCACTAATTTTCATAGCAGGTGCTAGAGTCCTAAGACCTAAAATTTTGCGTGGGCAAACAGACACCTAGCTGAGTGCAAATTCACTATGTCTGCATAAACTTGGATCTTTTTCTCTCTAATTTTTGTAGTTCATACTAAAGAAATACTTGATATTATGCTAACATTACCTTTGTTCATTTCTAATCCTGTCACATACACAAAGGTCAACCAGCTATGGTCACTTACTTGCATGAGACGTTTCTGCCAAACCAATTTATTCTTAGTTGTATACCTGATTTCCTTACCCGATTTCTTCTCTTAGTTTGCATAACTGTACGTTGAATATACTTGCCAACTTGTCTTTTTGCAAAATATCAAGTTTTCGGGTACCATGCCATTGTGACATACCGAGCCAATTGTAAACTTTATATCAAATGAAAATGTATTTTAAAATATGTTGGTTTTATTACTTGCTTATTCTCACCTTTGCCTTTACTTCTCCCAAGTTGTTCTGTTCTGCCTAATGTTACTCTCTACTGGTTTGGCACCAAATTTTAAACGGTGTCCTATCTTTAAGATATGAACGGTTTGGCAACTTTTTTGGCATATACTTAAAAACACAATTTAAACAAAATCCTCTTCAAATCATCACGTGTTTTGCAAATCCTTGGTGTCATGTAGAAAATGTCTATGGAAATCCTCTCAGTTTCAAGCAAAAAAAAACAAAAAAAACTACAATCAAGCCATCCCAGTCTTCAAGTGTATTCAGTCTTCATAGGAGCAGTTTCCTTTCTACCTATCCATCAAGTTAAGGTGTAACTGACCACTACTTCCTACCCCCTACTTTGTCCACTACTGTCTCTGGACAATTAACACATTAACTTCCTTAACTGACCAATGATAAGAGAGCTTGCAGTAAAGGAGGGCTAACAGTGTCCACTGAGCTACACCAACTCATTCATCTTCCTTATTTACAACTGTTAAAGCTCTCCTTTTATTCCCCCCACTATAGGCCACCACTTCCCCCCTCGGGCCTTATCAGTTGTTAGGACATCAAAGTGACCCTCTTGGTCCACCCTGCTGGGTTTAATACACCCAAGATGGCCAGGTATGACCCAGTCCCTGTTTCGGGCAATTAACCTGGTGTTGTGATTGAGGCTGGTCTTAATTAGTGGAGATCTGTTATGTCATGGTCCAGCTTGGCTGAAAAATTACAAAGGACATCAGCAAGTCCGGAGCACTGATATGATCTGATAAGGGCCCCTGGCAGACTTGGTGTTGACCAGTTTACATTCATCAAGATTCTACCTTTGGGTCTTTGCCGAATTGGCTTGGGATATCTTTTGTATTGATTAAGCTTGTTTGGGTGTCAAGTTTGGGTCTTGGCTTTCTGGTTCCTTTATGTTAGTGCTGTGTTTGAGATTCGGCAATGTTTTGACACCTAGGAGTGCTAGACTTGTAAAACATCAAAGGATGGGCTGTTCATTTGAATGCAAATTAAATTTTAAACTAAAGTTCCAAGCAAGGCCCCTTTTAAACATCAAACTTTGAAGTAATCCAGTTACATAAGTTGATCCTTAATAAAATGATACAAAAAATGATTACATGCAGTGGCCAAAAAATGAACATTTGACAAGTTGAAATCACCTGAAATCATGAAAAAAAAAACTTGTTCCTATACCTAATGAAAAGATGCTTAGCAAATGAGTTAAACTTCTCTACTAACATGACCCAAGATAGTATGTCATGTTCTCACTGCTGTGCAGCAGCAGTATATTATGAGATTCCTGAATTGTAATTCATACCATTTTTACTCAAACTGACGTCACTTCTTACACTTAATCATAACATATTTCAAAACAAACTTTTATAACAATGTTGTACTTATCATGACAGACACCTTATTTTCATCAAAACTGCTCGTTGGCATAGGTTTTTATTATCTCTTTTAATAACTTTTCTTCATTAAAGCTCACATTGATAGTCATTTTTGCAAGGCCCGTCATAGTCACCTTAACAGTTTCCTTTATTTTTTTTTCATTTTCTTAAACCAAAACCATTCTTAGCTTTGAAAATTATTTTCTCTACTTTGAGTTGTAGAAGAATGGTAACGACTCGATCTTTTCAATGGGGGGGGGGGGAATTGTGAATTTTACAGATACTTTATCTATAAGTAATAATTTCTTTAAATTACAACATTCCTATCGAGTAGTAGCAACAAAATTAAAAAGCAGGCCACTCTATAGTTCTATTCGATGCAGTAAAAGGACCACAGATGCCATACAGAAATACAATTTTGGGATCATGAAATAAGATATCTGAAAGTTTGGTAATTTTTGCCCATTGAAATGATCCAGTCATAGCCATGTTTTCACCTTACTTTTGTTAGGTGTGCTTGCACCTTGTCATTAAAAAAATTATACGCTGAATCATACATTTCATATTGAACAAAGATATCTTTAGGTACTTTTATCATTGTTTAATGGATAAGAATATTCGAGTTTTTGTAAACACTTTTTATTATGTAACAGCCAATGAAAATTTCTGTATATTCCGTATGTAATGTGTGTATATACTCCATGTAACTTGGAGAGGTTAATTCAGAACCCGTTTTATTGTATTTATTTAAAACAATTGATCTATAGCTTACATTTTTAAAAAGGCTTATATATAATCATGTTTTCATCAATAATTTTGTTATTCTTCACTGTTCATTGTTCAACAAAAGAGAACACCAATGAATGAAAAAAAATCATTAAAAGTTCACCAAACTTACTTTTAATCCCCCTGGTCCTACGACTTGGCAAAGGAGGGGATATGATGGACAGCATGTTAGTAGCAGTCTTAACTGTCCCATACAGTAGTAACTGAGGAAATCACTAGGACGCCAGAGATAGCATATAAAACTCTTCAACACAAATCGCCTCCAAGGTGGAATACTCCTACTCACGACTGATCTCCCTGCCTCAAATAGTAAGCCAAGTTAGGTATGTGTATATAGTACCCAAAGAAAGAACTCCAGTTCCAAATCCCGTGACCAGCTTATTCTTAAGCAAATGTCTTCCACATCCAATTTCCTTGGTTCTGCCTATCTGTTCAAATCTTTCCTTCCTGAACATTTAAAAACTCATTAAAGCGGTGTCCCTGTTTATCCAATCAGATTCAGTCTCATTCCCTTAAAATTAAGTATCTTTTCTCCTTCCAGCCAGGGCCGTTACTACCAGATACAGTGGGNAAATAGCACCGGATTTTTTTACTTAGGAGGAAGAGATATAACACCTGGCAGTCGCTGGCAAAATAAAAGGGGAAAGAGAGCAAGAGATAGACAATTAAAGGTTAACATGCGCAAACAACCTCAGTTAACAACAAAGACATGCATAAGAAATGCCAAAGAAAACCAGAACGATGGAAACTCATGGCTTCCAAAGTTTACTATAAATTATCACTAAGAACCACCGTAATGCAGCCTGGTTTCAAAGGGAATGTCTTTTTTGCCAATCGGGACAAAGGCATTTTCAAAGCGATAGAGAAAATGCATTTTATTTTAGCAATAACAAATTTCATATCTTCTAAGAAAAAGCCGTTTCCTTTTCCTCTCAAAGCAATATCCGCCTGCTGAGTTTTGCAAACATCGTGAATAAAAAAAAAAACACACGTTTAATCCAGGGAAAGGGGGGGGGGTTAAGCAAAGATTATTTTTAATACAATTTTTAGCATTATCTTTGCTGAACATTCTAAATTTTCAATGGAAACAAATAAAACAATCATATATACACGAAATATCGTGAGAAAGACAAGTCCATAAGCTGCACATGTGTATCCTGAATTTCAGAGATGACTTGAAACTACCATCCATTACTCTCTGATATCAGGGGCCTCTTAAATAGTATCTAAAATTAAAATATAAGCTCCTTTAAAAATACACACAATCAGCTCTGTAACTACCCTGCCCCTACCCCTGAAACGGTGGCTCAGCAGCAGAGGAGGAGGATTGTGGGGTGGGGTATAACCACCTAGCTGAGCATCTACAGTAAGCCTGGGGCCATGCTTGACTTGCATTATGTAGAATAGACATGGATGTGCGCTACTCAGCACCTACTAGATGTGAAATCGCCCCCACTGACAAATACAAAGGTTAAGTCTAGCGGGGAACACGTTCCTGTTAATTACGTGAAATCGCACAGGGTGAGATACAATAATTTTGTAACAGACTACTACCGCACCTTGTGGGCAGTGAGTAACCATCCACTACCAACACGTTGCTGTCAAATCTAGTTAATGGAAACTGACCTACGTCGTCATGGTGCCTTGGCTATCTCCAGTAACTGGTAGTGTAGGTAGTCTCTTCAGTGAATTTGAGCTATATAAGTTTTTGTAAATAACACTAAAACGCATGTTATTATATTGCCATTTTTTCAGAAATCGTGTCCTTTTTATAGAATTAAGTTTCAAGTTTATTGAGCAATTAATGCAGATTCAGTTACATTTTCAGTCCCTCTGCAATGCATAATTTTCGAAATATCCAATACATTTACGTGCAATGATATGGCATGCATAAACATTAACGTACTTCGGGCTCTTGTTATTAAGCAGTTTTCATATATATAAGGTTTAAAACAATGACAAAACCGTATGTGATATCTGGCGATAAAATCTTTTACAGAAGTCACTTTCATTCGACACAGATAATCTGCCATAATCTCTTCAACAATAAATCGCAACTTTAAATAGCTTAAAATCACTGGAATCATCTCCTTGCACCAGGCGCGTTTTCCTGGTGCAGCATCCTGTCACAGAAGTTCTCACATAAGATTGTCAATTAGCGTCAGTTTTCCAAGTTGGTTCCTGGAAATGTCCAGGAAAAAACAGCCACAAAGAACAATGCATGTGAAGGGTAATTATCAGAACGCCGATTGCATATTCCGAGGGAATCGATCGTAAGCACGACGGTAAACTCCACAAACATTAAAAGGGACAAATTATGCGACACGACTTCAAAGAGTTAAGAGCAAACGAGCCAAGACGTGCTGGCTGCTGCATGATAATGGTTAAGTGGAATGCTATATTACAGATGTGTTATCAGACGCTTGCCTGGAAACGATTGGCCGATCATATGTCTGTAAAAGTCGACAACGCGTCTCTGACAGAGAACCCTGATTTGTTATCTCAGTTGGTAATGTAATATAAGGCTTGTCTTGAGTTTGGTGGTATGTTTCTCGTGCGCGCACACGTGATACTGGATCTACAGCCATAGGGTTAGGGTACATTTTATGCATTTAGATACGTCGTACAAGTCGTACATTTTGACTGAAATCAGTTACCTTGGAGAGACGTAAACATCGCTTTAACAAGAAAAAACTTTCTCAAATTCCAGGTGCACTGAACGCCCTCAGCATCATCTAACTTTCAGTCAGAAATTCTTGAAAATGTGTTTTGTTTATCAAATAGTCCTTGTCACATACGGACAAAGATGTTTTTTAAGTAAAATAATACCGTACTGCTCTTTTATTTGGTTGACTGGTGTTTCTTTTTTGGATTGTGTGTGTGTGTGTGTGTGTGTGTGTGTGTGAGAGAGAGAGAGAGAGAGAGAGAGAGAGAGAAAGAGAGAAAGTCTGGACTTTTGCCAGCAATAAGTGCTCGTCAGAAATGTATAATGATGCAGTTATACTATGCAACTCGCTATTTATAAATCAAACCCCGTCTTTTTCCTTGTTCATCCATCTCCAAGGGTTTTCACAGACATTGACATCCAGAATGCGTGCTGCGTGGGTAATTCTAAGCAATTGGAACTCAGTGCGATTTCTCTGAAAACAAAGCTTTCATAAGTGATACACAACCACGCTTACCCCGTACTAATCAAACTAAGATTACTGAGAGAATTTGTTCTAAAATAACCGATAGATAGACAAGTTAATGAATGAAGCAATGTAAAATGAAGTGAAATAAAAAATAAATAAAATAGAATACATCAAACATGTAGGTAAACAGGGATAAAAAGAATTACTGTAACAGTGACTTAAATTGGTACTACTGAGTAGATTGTCTGCGTCAGCCAAGTACATCGTCAAAGTGCAGTAGCAGCAAAGGGGAGTTACAGGTAACAACGACAAATAGATTGATGTGCATCTTTATTGATGTTCTTTAAAGCATTCCACATGTGTATTTTATGTTATATATATATATATATGTAACCCCGGTTGGTTACTTAATTCTGAGCGAGTAACTAACTTGAAAACACCGAAGACATCAATGGAATCTCATGAAGATCTTTATTTGTTGACGGGCTACAATCTGGCACGCAGGCAGGGACAGTCACGACGATCTCCCGGGGTCTCTCTCTCACTAACTGAGAAGCCCTCATTTTATAGGGAATCGTTCTAAGTCCTGCGTGCCCAATAACTATTACTAAATGTGTGTAATTTATAGGAATAATAAAGGAACTAAATGTAACATACGTAATTTTAATTAAAATAGGAAGTATGATAAAACTAAATGCAGGGNCTACAATCTGGCACGCAGGCAGGGACAGTCACGACGATCTCCCGGGGTCTCTTTCCCACTAACTGAGAAGCCCTCATTTTATAGGGAATCGCTCTAAGTCCTGCGTGTCCAATCACTATCACTAAATGTGTGTAATTTATAGGAATAATAAGGGAACTAAAGGTAACATACGTGATTAATAGGAAGTATCAGAAAACTAAATACAGGGACTATATTACATTTCATAGTAGCCCTGAACACGGATATGTTCTCCGGGTAGGAAGGTTACATAACGCTCGGACCTGGGAATGGCCTCAACTGAAATTTCCCCAGGTGTAGTGACTGTTTTTGGTGGAAGAGATCAAAAGAGCGAAATGACTATAATGAGGCCAAAGTATTTCTACAATTTTAGAGTCGGCACCGGGTTTCCATTTTCTGTCATCTGAAAGGGGTGTATCTTCAATTACTTAAATAAATTACTCTACTGAGATATTTGTTTCTAATTTTGGTTTCTCTTCCGTGATTGAAAATGTGATTTAAAGGCAGAGACAAATTGTATAACACTACCGTGTTATAATAAGTAGCTGACTTTTCTTTTCTCTCACCTTAATCACATATTCTGCTTTTCTCTCTCTATCTGCACATTCCCCTTGCCTCCCAATTTACAGAACCTCACAAACTGTGAATAAAGCTCAAGCACATATGCATGACTTCCATACATTTAAACATAAGGCCTTTCAGAGAGAAAATCTTAACTATAACCAAGAACAAATTTGGAGGGGGAAAATGAGAAATTAATCATTTCAATCAGTGAGAACATTAGATATCATGTAGTGTCTCCATGTGGTCCCAATACTGACAAATAAACTTCGCATACAGCTAGTGCATAAAGTAGACGTCTTTTTTTTTCTTTTCTTTTTTTTTGCCCATTATTGAAAAACTGGCATGTCCAAAGGATAAAAGAAACAAGCACACATCATCATTATCAGAATAGAGCTTTACTGCTTGCTTGACTTTAATTAATTTTCAGGTCAATAACAGAGTGGCTCTTTGACCTCCGCTGCAAAAACATCGTCGTACTCATTCACCTGACCTATTGCCTTGAACAATAATATTACCCACGGTGCATTGGGTGTATGTAAACGCCAACCAGTGGCCTGCACCGCCCAACACAGTGGGGCGAGTGTTAAAAAAAAGCGCACAGCACTTAGTGTCAAAGCTGCTCAAAATGAAGGCAGTGTTTCAGACGTGTCTGGGGTCCCAGCTACCTTTATTTTATTACTGGTGGGACATTTTAGAATTATCAATCACATGTCACAGGAGATGCATGCAGATTGCTCTGTGGATTTATTTTTTCAGTCATTGCAGAAAAAAATGAAAAAAAAAGTGAATTTTATACGAAAGTACATCTTTGAATAGCCTTTTATCATTTTTCTTATAATATTTAACTTCATGGAAAAAAACTTACCAGAACAAAATAATGATGACTTAAGTACTTACCTAAAAAATTCCAATGCATCTTTAAATTTTTTGTTTTACAATTGTCTTCTTTCTTACAGGTAATCATTCCAAAAATTAAATTATATATGAAATAGTCTTGTGACATCATCATAATATAAACAAATCAAACCAAAGCATGTATTTTTGAAAATTTAATACAATAACACTGTAGCGTGTATCTAGAAGGATGTCAGCCTACACCTGAAACGTGGAAGTTCATCTT